CCATTATTATTGTCAAGCCCCTTCCCAGCCCCGTTGTGGACTCACGATGAGCCCTCCGAGTCGCACCACTCACTTAACATCTAATTCTTCTTAACCAGCTTGCTATGCTGCTGCTCTTTAATTCTTATACTGGTATCTTTACTGAATTTCCCTCCTTATTCTCCCTAGATTGAAAGCACCCTGCAGTCTGTGAACCTATCCCAAATATTTTTAATGTCTGCCAGAATCCCTGGCATAAATACCTCTCACACAGCGGGTTTCAGTGGCTATTTGTGGATTTGACTGTTAAGCTTGGTTTCCTGAGACTGGACATTCAGCCTAGCAGGAGTTGCCACCCCCTTAAGTCATCCATGATCCATAGAGCTGAATGCAAGAGAATTCATACTGTTAACTTGCACACAGACTGTGCAATCCCAGCAACCACTAATCATCTGTTCTTTGGCCTTTTCTACTACTTAAATCAGCACAAGCTAGTTACTTCTTTTATGCTATTTTTGCAGTGTGGCCAATGTGTCCACTCGCAGGGTCCAGTTGAACAGTGCGCCTCTCTCTGTGCCTGCCCATCTTGGCGATCTGACTCTCCACCCACTACTGCCAGCACCAGCCCCCATGAGGCCTTTGTGCTGGCAGGCTTTTTACCCCTCCTTCAGTCCCAGCTCAGATGTAGCTCCCTGAGGGGCTCTTCAGGCTCCTGGGACCAGATCGCTATCTGCTTGCACCTCCACGTATTTGTGATTATGCTTTTTTGGAAGCTATCTTTCCCATACTAAAATATAAGCCCATGAAATTAATAAATTCATGTCTCTCATGTCAGAACTAAATTCTGCCCATAACAGAGGTCCTAAGTAATAGTATTAGGAACAGGACAGGAGTTATTTCTCTCCCGCGGTGGGCAGGTTAGGGCTGGAATAGCGAATCCTCAGCATCAGATTCCGTTGTATTCCCGCGGTGACAGCGAGCAGAAGACCTGGGACAACAGCGGGAGGAGGGCAGTGAAGAAGCACTGTCTTCTCCCCCAGGGATGCTCCTTGGAACCACACAGCTCTTGCCTCCCTCCTACGGGCCTGACATTAGTCATGGGCCCATACCTGGCTGCTGGGGAAGCTGGGAGATGGAATCTTTGTTCTGGATAGACGTGTGGTGAGCACTGCATTCCCAGCTGCCAGCCCACTACCAGGAGCGCTATGCCTTGGCTGAATGAAGAAATGAGCTGAACACTTACATATTCATTTTCCAGAGCTACTATAATAAAGTGCTACAAATGGGGTACCTGGGAGAACAGAAATGTTCTGTCTCACACTTCTGGAGACTGGAAGTCCCAGATTAGAATATCATCACCATGGCTTCTTCTGAGTGCAGTGGAGGACGTGCTCCTCGCTCCCTCCTAGCTCTGGGGCTCTGCAGGCCTGTTTCAGGTTCCTTGGTTTATAGATCACTCTTCTTTCCTTACAGGATCTCTTGTGTGTGCATCTCTGTGTCCAAATCTCCTACTTTTAGTAAAAGGGACACCAGCCATATGGATTCCAGCCCACCTTCCTACCCACATCTTAACTAATTACATCTGCTCCACCTCATTTTCCAGGAAGGTCACATTCAGAGATACTGGTGATTCAAAAGTCATAGGAATTTAAAACAGAAATTAAAATTTTGGGTTGGGAATACCACGCAGCATTCAATATAATTTGATGCAACCAAAATTCATAGGATTTATGACTTTGGGGGTGGGGTCACACAATTCAACACAGCACAGTTTGGAACAGTTATCATCTGGTCTCATGGGGTCCCTCCGAGACACATGGCATCCACTGTGCCCCACCACCCAGCATGATGCAAGTCCGCTTCTGCACAGAGTGACCCATCCTGGCTGCCCAGCCCAGAGGGTGAGTTCAGTAGGGGGCGGGGGGGAGGGGGTGGACAGGGTAGGGCCTAGCAGAGGCCGCTCATATGACAGCTGAAACCAAAGAAGTTGAGCTTCTTCCTGGTCTGACAGACTCAAGAGCAATCCAGAAAGGCGTGGGTCCCCTGCGTTCAGAGGTTTTTTTACAGCAAGATGACAGCTACCGCCTTGATAGCAGTGTGTAGCCGCCACGGTCACACTGTACGGCACAATCCATGTCCTCCGGGCCGGCTGGGAATCTCCACGCCAGGATCTGGCCGAGCTCCTCCCCCCAGCCCCAAATCTTCATTCATTCTTGAAGTTTTGTGCTTTTGTTTGGTTCTGCCTTGTTCCTCCCTGAAAACTCCTCTGAGGACCAAGATACGATTTTATTTATCTCTGTCATCCCCACCGCTCTGGTGAGTAGAGAGCAATTAAACAGCACTTTTTCCAAGGGAAGAGGATGCCATCATCATCCGCCGGAAGCTCAAGCAGGATTCATGCTTCAAAGTGGAGAAGCGGAAGCAATAAAAGGTTCCTGCAGTTTCCCCTGCCTGCAGGTTCTGGGGCTCTGAGAAGGTGGCGGTGCCCAGGGTCGCTGGGACCCAGGAGTTCAGCAGTAGGAAACCCAGGGCTGCCGAAGCCCTGACACGGTCAAGGCTGGAGAGCCGTCTGCTGGATTGTGAGAGGGTGACCTGCTGCAGCACACGTCTCCCATATGTCACATGTGACATGAGACCGAGGCCCTGGGTTGCGCTTCATGATCCCTGGTACCAAAGGGAGCAGAAATCTCAACTCCAGGCCGGACACAGAGAGCACCCTCCCACTGGATTGGGCTCAGAGTGGTGTCCCCTCAGCCCGAGCCATCTTCCCACTTACGCCGTGCTCAAGCAGGGTCACAGCAGGGAGTCCGGCTGTCACAGGACCCTCACATGGCCTTCAGAATATGACTTGGGCTTGTGTGTCCTTCCCTAATGTTTCCTCCTAAAAATCTGTCATATGTGGCAGCTATTTCTGTTCTTTCTCCATGCTTGTAATCCAGATGGCCAAGTGCATGCTGGGCAGGTGTTGGACGACATGGGAACAAGGATAGTGACTCATTAGGCTTCGCACTTGAGTTCCCAGGGCCTGTGTCTTGTCCGCTCAGATCAGAAAGCCACACTAGGCTAGGGGAGAGAGGCAGGGCTGTGTTTCCATCCCCTGTTTAGATGGCCCCGGACATCATCTTTAGCCCAGTTACTCACCTCACTCCAGAGATGGACCACGGTGGCCAGAGGTTGCACAGACAGTGCTTGTCCAGATGCCTGTGGCTTTGATCGCTGACATTTCTGCAGTGCAAAGGCGGGGTTGATACCAATAGAAAGTCGTGTTTGACAGTAACCTCTGTCTGATGTGTGCTCTGTCTGAAACATTTCTGCTTTCCTCTTTCAGTGAGTTGTAGAATTAGGAGGTTCATCCAGGCTTTGCTTATCAGACTTGTGCCTGGTTGTTATCAACAGGCTCCATTCATGATGAAATAATCTAGAACAACAGCCCGAATCACAGTGCTGCCTCTGGCCAGGGCAAGTGGGCGGGGGTGCTTGCCCTGAGACCCTGAGGAGGATCTGCCATTAGGTGCTGACCTGCCACATCCCCCGGCCCATTTGGGCCAGCACAGCTGGTTCAGGGACATTACCAGGTGTGAATCTCTGTTCTAGCTTTGACTTTATCTTATTTTTATTCTTTTTCTCCTTTACCCAGTTTCCCTATTCAGTTATTTATATATTAAATACATCTTTTCATGTTTTGCAAGCACTCATTCTGTAGAAAAATTAGAAAATATAGGTGAGCAGAATTTTTTTTTTTTTATTTAACATGCCACCACCTGGAGAAAACTACCATCTGTGAACATATTCTGCGATAATTCATTTTAAGTTTGTTTGTTATTATTTTTTGAGAGAGTCCTGTTGTGTAGTTTAGACTGGCCTTGAATTCAGGGCAATCCTCCTGCCTCAGCCTCCTGAATGCTGGGATTACAGGTCTGTGCCACCACACCTGCCTAATTCTAATTTTTTAACGCATATCTTTTTAAAGTTTGCATTTTTTACTTACTGATATTTGAGAATACCATTTATGCATATAAAAATTCATCAACATTAGATGGCTGGACAGGAGAATCAATTTATTTAACCAGGGACCTGTCACTGGTCATTTAACTGGTTTCCAAGTTTTCACTTTGGAAACAATACTACAGTGGATTGTATTTCTGGGCATTCTCAGTTGTTAGGGTGAATTCCTAAAAGGAGAATGGTTGAGTAAAAATAATAAGTATACATTGTTTTAAATTTGTGTTGGGAAACCTTTTAAATTATAAAGAATTTAGACCGAATGCTACACTGAGCCCTCTTATATCCGATAATGATCAACTCCTGGCCATTTTTTCCCATCTATTTTCCCACCCACAATTCCTGCCTTATTTAGAAACAGATCCAATACATCATGCTGAGAGGCTTATTTCTGAATTACATGAGTACTATGAGCTGGGCAAGCTAGGAGGCCAGAAAGCACCTCTGCCATATGCAGAGAGAAGGGTGTGCAGAAGGACCAATCTGCGTAACACAGAGAGGCGGCATCTGACCTTTAGGGGGTTTTTGCTTCAGTTTTATGTGTAAACCTGTTTTGCCCTGGGAAGTCATAGCCTCTTATCTCAAGGTGAACCCGACTGACCCCCTGGAGCTGTGTGGCTCTGTCATCTTGCTGGACTCAACCATTTAGAGGGAGACACTGAAGCAAGGAAACAGGACATTGTCACCTGGCCTCAAAGACTGCACATCAGCACCTCAGCCAGCCCTATTTCTGTTGCTTAGAGCTAACTGAAGGCAAAGAGAAATAGCTTAACCATACATATCAATACGTGGAGACAGGGTCAAGTTTAGCCAGGAGAGCCATTCAGGTGGTCTCTACAGCAGGTCTCACTCCTTTTTCCATTTTCCCAGCTCATGCCTTGAGAAGATTTTTTGAGCCCAGCTCTGGAGATTCTCCTACCAATATCGCACTGACTTGTGCATTTATTTGTGGAAGGTAAACAAAGCCTTAAACATTAGTAATAATTAAGCATTCTTTTTTCTTCCCTAATATCCTACAGCATGAAGGTCCAGGACCAGGTCACTATAGCTTGAAAACACCTCCAACAATTTCTGTGACTTCCTGTTTTCAATCCAAGCTACCCCGGCTCTTGCCCAGCTTTTCAGTAAGTATTCTGAAGGACAGACAACCCCAGAGCGTAGCTTCAGGGTGGGTCCAGGCATCTTGGAAGAGCGGGTGGGTGAGATAGAGACACTGTAGTGTCACCTGGGGGATGAGGCCGCAGGGGTGTACTGGTTTCTGACTCAGGCTGACTCTAGGCCTGAAGGCCGTGCTGACTTGTGGGTCAGTCAACAACGGCTGCAATGGTGACCAGCCCCCCACCACACACACCTGGATGCTTTCAGGGGACATAAAGCAGTCCTATCATGGCTGACTGGGCTGTGTAAGTCACCCACTTCAGCCTCCAGAACCAACTGTGTAGCTGCCAGGACCCAAGGAGGCAGAAATGGTAGCACTGAACCAAAGGGGATCACTGAGGTGGGAGCAGCCTAGGGCTAGAAAAAGACAGGAAGAAACCATAGACGGGTGCAAAGGGGATGGATTCTGGGGCACACAGAGCCTCAAAGGCCCTCAGCAGACTAGGGAAGACCATAAAAACATGAGGTGGTGCTTGCTAATGGTGGCCTTTAAAATTATTTTTCAATGCTGAAAACCCATTTTCATTAGCTCGATAGCCTCACTGCTGAGCCTCAGAGCTGCGGCGCTGCCCTTCTTTGGAGCCCCCAGTCAGTAAACCTGCAGGTAGACTGACAGCCAGAGGCAGGGGGATCCCCACATCTCAGTGACATCACCAGGATCCAGAAACAATTGTTTGTCGGAGCCCATAACACTGAGCATTCCCAGGAAGACTGAGCCACACTGACCAAACTCCCAGCACGCCGAGCGGACTCCAGAAAGCAGTGTTGGCTCGGAAGCATCTGCTGAAGGAGCCTGGTCTTTGAGGCTGCTGTTCAGACTTTCAGGAATCTGTCATGGATGCCAAGGACAAACAGGCCACTGGGTGCCAGTGAAATCAGGGCTGGAGGCCCAAGAGGGGTCACCTCCAGGTGGCAGAATCAGCAGCCTCCTGTGGGGGGGTTCTTCCAAGTCCGCTTTTCTGTGGTCTGGGCTTCCTGGACTCTGCACACCAGCCACACTCTCATTAATAGCGCTAATAAAGGCCTCTGATCCCTTTGCCTGTGGCCAGGGCTTGATTAGATTTCTGAGCTGCTCCTCTGCTTTTGGGGAGGGAAATAGCCTGTCATTTAAACAACATCTGTGGGCAGCCATCTATCTATGAGTGGCCTGCTGTGTTCCATTCTCGGTGACTGGTGACCGCTTACCCTGTCTTCCGCCCCTCTGCAGGAGGGTGGAAGTGATAGGTGGGTGGTCACAGTGAGCACTGGGAGGGAATATGTGCAGGGCCAGTTGCCAGCCCGGTACAGCCTGTCTCAATGAGCCCATAGCCTCTCACCAGGCAAGTGCTCTGGGCCGAGAATCACAGCAACCCACTGGTGGGGCTGCTAGGACTCAAAGTCAGACTCGTCTGACTCCAAAACTCTTGTCCTTCTTGTTTGCTTTGGTTTTTTGACACAGGATCTCACTATGTAGTTCAGGCCAGCCTTGAACTCCTTATGTAGTCTGGGCTGGTCTCAAACTTGCGGTGATCCTCCTGCCTCAGCCTCTTGAGGGCAGGATTGGAGGTGTGTGCCACCACACCAGGCCTTGAACACTCCTTCATTAGTGAGCACCTTTTGTAAATCCTGAGCAAAATATAGTGCAGCTGCTGTGGCCCTGAGGTCAGAGTCCAGCCAGAGACTCAGGACACCCAGGAAGCTGGCAGCCCTCAAGTGTCCCCATCCCCAGCCTCCCAAGGGATGACAGGCATGCACCACGGCACCCAGCAACCCCTGTGTCTCTCAGGCAGTACAAAGGAAAAATCCCTTGGTGTTTCAAGATGATGGGTACACACCCCAGTGTGAAGTGCCGACCTGAGAAACTAAAGCTTCCCTCTGTGGAAAGGGCCTTCGTTTGTACTTAGTGCTCCAGCCAGAAACTGTTTAAATCAACTGACAAAATGTTTTGCTACAAGGACTTCATCAAAGTTAAAACATGATGGTTTGAGAATGAGACGGTGGAGATCCCTTGAAAATACTTCTGACCCTGGGACCCTCAGGCCCAGATTGAGAAACCCTGCGCTTTATCGCACGGGGTCAGTGAGAGATTTTAGAATGTGGTACCAGGCCCCTCTACCCCACAGTACTAGGAATTGATCTCAGAGCCTTGGGTACCTTAGGCAAGCGTTCCATCCCCATCCCCTCAGCAACACCCAACCCTTGTATTTATTTTTAAATATTTTTAGATTATGTGTTTGTTTTTGCATTACTGGGGATTGAACTCAGGGCCTTGGTGCTGAACTGTATCTCCGGCCCATTTCACTTTTATTTTGAGACGTGGCCTGATGAGTGGCCCAGGCTGGCCTGGCACTCCTGAGAACTCCTGCCTCAGCCTCCCAAGCCCCGGGGATGTCAGGTGCAGCCCTCCACTCCCAGCCAGGGTGGGCTTTTGTGCCAAATGGTCAGGTTCAGAACCCAGTTTCCAGCTGTTGGCTGCTGCACACGGTCACTGGAGGGGATTCCCGGGGACAGGCACTGCAGGGCAGAGCACCCACCAGGAGACGGCATCTCTTTAAGTGCTGGTGTGGTGTGTGTGTCTCTGCTTCCCCAGGCAGGTGACAGGCAGGCCCCAACTGGTCCAGCCCTTGTCCAGGCACCTTTCTAGCCTCACAGTAACCCCAACAGGAGCCGCCTCAACCCCCAGGACACCCCTCTCATGCCAGTGTGGACCTTGACTCCTCCAGGGGGTTCATCCATCAGCCACCCACAGGCAGCAGCCAGATTCGGGGGTTGTGAGTTTTGTGTCACTATCTCATCAGGCCCTGTTTTCTCTTCTGATTTCAGAAAACCCCAGGCCCAGGAACGTACACATCCTCCAAACAGTACCCAAAGCAGTCCCAAACCATAGCCAAAATGGGCCGGGAGCACAGCCTCTTCTTCAACAACACAATCGGCTTTTAAAATAAAGCACTTGTGACACCAAATGATTCGGAATAACAGCAAGTTCTTGGGTTTATGAAACTGCTACTACGCCTTACCGGGGTTTCACCATGGCAGGGTTGGGTCTCTTGGGCTCAGTCACATTAGTGTTGAGAGATTTCCAGGCTTCCTTGGGTCCTTGACATTAAACCAAGGCCACACAGAGCCTAAGAGGGTCCCAAAGGTGGCACTTTTCCTTTTTCAAGTCCCTAAAAAGAACTGGATTCAATGAGTACAATCCTGTGCTGAGTGCTAACATTCCAGTCGCTTTCAGACCACACACACAGCGGTGTCCCTGAAGAGTAAAACACAGCAGAACTTTTCCTTCTGCCTAGTAACTGGGTAGCTCGAAGCATTTACTCAAGGCTGGGTAGACTGCAGGGCCAGTGGCCAGTGCCGTAGCAGTGTGGCCCAGACAGTTGTGTAGAGTGTTACGTTTGATGATGACCGTCAGTGATTGGTGCCTAGATTTACTATACTGTACTGCTTTTTTCTCCTTCGCTCATCTAACTGGGTAGTTAGTATACTACACCTTTTAACCTTTCTTTTTCTTTTTGGCACTGGGGACCAAACCAAGGGCCTTCTGATGCTACTCCTACTTAGCAAAACCATGTTTGCTGTCAAACAATATACTGCATTACTCTGGCAACAGCCACCTGTGTCTCACGCCCACCATTTTTCTCCATCACACCATTTTATTTTGTGATCGATTTAATTCTGTTGTCACTTTGTCTCAAGGAACAACCAGCTACAGCACTTACGTACCTGCCACAGAGCCTTGGGGTGCAGCAGGTGCCACCGTGTGGCTCTGTGTCCACACAGACGGCAACACCAACCAGTGGCTCCTTCTCAGAAGGTGTCCCCATCAGTAAGTGACATGTGAGCGTGATTCTGATTCCAGGTCACGGAAAATGCGCAAGGTGCTGTGCTGGGGAAACAGAAGGGAGCTGGAAACAAGGCTAAAGAAGGGACAGAGTTTGGAGAGAGTTCAAGACCTGGAAGAAGATCTCAGAAAGCTGAGAAGTCTGTACCGAGAAACTGCTGCAAGTCTCAGAGATCTGGGACTGCGCCAGGTGACAGCTCCTGTGGGAAGATGGTCACCAGTCTCAGCAAGCTGCCAGGTCATTGTGCAATGGGCCCTGACTCTGGGCACATGCAGCAGCAGGGTGGCGTGGCTGGGCCTATCAAGAGAAACAGGAGGCTGAGACCAGCAGAGAGGAGGGGAGAGGGCCGGGTAAGGACTGCTATCTGGACAAAGGCCCAAGGCAAGAACTGACATTTGCTGGCAGGAGCAGAGGGATTCTGATCCAACTCACACTGAGGGTGTAAGCAAGGGCGTGGGACGTGGCAGGGCCATTAGAACCTGATGACCAGGAGCTTCGAGCACCGGGAGGAGCTTCCCACTCTGGGAGAGCCTGGGTGTGCGGGGGCTCAGGGTGGGAGGTGGAGTGGGTTCAGAGTCGTTAATAAATACCTGAAGGAATATTGTAACAATTAAATGTTTATATTTTATGGGGAAAAAAACCTCACATCTCTTTCTTAAACTTACCAGCCCTGATAAAGTGGGTACTGGGGTGAGGTAGGGATGATTGCCATCCGTCTAAGTTACCCACTTTTGTGGGGGATACTCTGTACTGCATTCCTGGGGTGCAGGGGACCACCCTTCCTCCCCCTGCCCCGGGCTACATCTCTGCCCACACTGACCAGAACAGGCCAGGGCAGATGGTTTCAAACCTTGTTCTCCAAGGGGCCCAAAGTTCCCGCACAGTCATGCCTGGAGGTTCTGATGCAGGAGGTTCCTAGGGTCACCTGACACTGGGGAGTAGGAGAGGTAGGAGGTGGTCACGTGTGTCTCTGTCCTGGGTGGTAGACAGGAAGTTAGAGCAACTGTTTAGACCATCAAGCGGAAGTAGGGTTCTGAGGTAAGTATAGTATTTGGGGTCCCTTACCAACAAGAAGTGAACTGGGTCTGGCGGGACCCCACCCATCCAGCCTGCTTTTCTCCTGGCCTGGAACCCAACTTACAGTGCCTCCTCCTGCTTCCTCTAGGGAGCCAGCTGGGTCCAGTTGCAGATTCCCAGAGGAGGAAACCTGATGGCTGGCCTGGCCCAGTGCTCTGGGGCAGAGGAGGCTACAGGGTCCACCTGGGATGGGGGTGTAACTGGGGCGGGGAGCAGCTCCCCAGGGTCCTGGAGAATGAGGACCCTTTTGCCATGTGAAGGAGAGGGGACATGAGTAACAGAGACCTCTGGCGGCGGAGCCCCTGGGGACATTCTGTGGGGCCATCTAGCAGGCCTTGCAGTCTGTGCCTACCTGGAGACGTCCTACTTTGCCTCCTGAGGGTGGCTTGAGTCTCTTTCAGGATTTCGTCTTCGTCTGTCTCTGCCATTTTGTGATTTGGGGTGAGGTGACAGAGACTGTGATGCCAGGGTTAGCAGAGGCCTCCTGAGAGCTGTGGTGAGTCCACACTGCACTTTGTCTCTTGGAGTTTACAGTGTTGTCATTGTGCTGAATTTCATTCAACCTGGGGGACGTTTACCAGGAGACTGGGCAGACTCTGAGTGGCCTTTCCCTCCATGAGCCCGGCCCTGGGACAATAACTCCCCGACAGGGAAAGAGAACTGGCGAGGCCTGAGCGGACTTGAGCTTGAGTTCTGAGACAGAGACATCGATACCTAGCAGCTAGCACACGTACGCCTCGGGTGACACATCCATCTGGAGCAGGACAGCGGCCACCCATGAAAGGGACCGTGAGCCTGCCTCCTCCCCGTCTGCGTCCCTGAGGGACTTCCCTTGGGGTCTCAGATACCCAGCGCTGCTCTCCTTCCCCATGAGCCGTGGTGACGCCGCTTCTCATGGCTCTGCCTGAATCCCCCAAGTCACCCCCACCCCGAGCTGCTCTCTGAATTTGGCTCCAACCAAAGAGAATGCTTCTTTCGTGTGCTGTTTCCTTGTGAAATTTCATTAAGTCAGAGCATGTCAAAAGTCACAGCACTGGTGGGGACAGCTGGGCCTTCTTTGTTCTGTCTCTCTCCTCCCTTTTCAACCCTCTCATCCTCACTGCTGTCTGGGCCTGTGGCTGTCACCTTCCAGACCCAGACTCTGAGCATCAGGCACTGTTTTAGGACTGAGGGCCACGGTGTGCTGAGGTGACTGGCTCTGTCTCCAGCATCCCCTTAGCGTGCTCCGTCACCTACCACGGCACAGAGCCACCTGGCCTCAGGCTGACAGGCCTAGAATTACTTTAAAAGCCCTACTGTTTTAAAAACACAACTCAGAATTTAACAAACTCACAATCAGTGGTCTTTTCACTGTGATAAAATACATGTACAATTTACCAGCTCAACCATTTTAAAGTTTACAGTTCAGTGGTGTTAAATACATTCATAATATTGTGCTACTCCACCACTGTCTGTCTCCAAAATTCTTTTCATCTTGTAAAACTGAAGCTCCGGCCCGTTAAGCAGAGCCCTCCTCCCGGCGCGGCCTCTGGCAGCCAGCCGGCTCCTTCCTCTAACTTCCTGTCTCTAAGTACCTAACCTAAGTGGAATCTTACAGTACTTGTCTTTTAGAGACTGGCTTATTTCACTTAGCATAAAGTCCTCCAGGTTCATCCGGGTCATCAGATGTTAGCATTTCTTCCTTTAAAGGCTGAATAATATTGCACGCTACGGGCTGTACATTTTGCTGATCTCTTTCTGATGATGGACACTTGCTTCTCTGTTTTAGCTACTGTGAATGCTGCTGCTGTGAACACGGATGCACAAATATCTCCTTGGGACCCAGCTCCCAATTCTTCAGGGTTTATATGAAGTAGAGTTCCAGGACCACTGGGTAGCTCTTTTTCTTTTCTTTTTTTCTTTCTTTCTTTTCTTTTTTTTGAACCACCTTGCTATTTTCCATGGTTAGCTGCAACATTTTTCATTCCTGGTCTCAGTGTACAGGAGTTCCGATGTCCACACATCCTCGCCAACACAATTTCTGTTTTTTGGTAGTAGCCGTACTAAGGAGAGGTGCTGCCTCAAGCGTTTGATTTGCATTTCCCGGATGCTGAGTGATGCTGAAGTCTTTACTGGCTGTTTGTGTGTCTTCCAAGAGGATGACAGTGCACGTCCTCTATCCACTATTAACTGGGCTGTGCGATGCATGTTGTTGAGTCTTAGGCATTCAGGGTATATTCTGGATCTCTCTCTCATCAGATATGTGGTCTGCAAATATTTTCTCCCATTTTGTAGGGTGCACCATCGATAGTACCTCTAGCTGAACAAAATTTAAAGTATGCACAAAGCCCAATTTCTCTCTCTCTCTTTCTCTTTTGTTGCCCGTGCCTTGGCTGTCACGCACAATAAATTATTCCCAAATCAAATTTTCTGAAGGCTGAGTCCTGTGTTTTCTTCTAAGGGTTTTACTGTTTTACATCTTACACTTAAGTCTCTCACCCATTTTGGTTTAGGTTTTGTGCCTGGCATTAGGTAAGAGTCTAACTTCATTCATTTGCATGGGAATGTCCTGTTTTACCAGCACAAATTGCTTTTCAACTAGCTTTTTGGCTAAAATCAATATCTATCTTCTGTGTACTAGTTGTGAAAACCAAAAACAAACAGAATCTGCCCTTTCCCTACTGAATGGTCTCGGCATCCTCAGCATAAATCACTGACCATGTCTGCAAAGGTTTCCATCTGGGCTGGCTATTCTAGTCCCATGGTCTAGATGTCCGTTTTTATGGAAGTACCATGCTAGTGAGATCACTGTGGCTTAGTAGTAAGTTTTGAAGTCAGGAAGTTGGAGTCCTCTGACTTTGTTCTTCCTTTACTGGATTGTTTGGGCTTGAGTCAGAGGTTCCTAACTGAAGCTGCATGTTAGAATCTCCTTCGGGAGCTTCAGCAATCTTGTGCCTGGCAGCTCCTAGACAGAAGATCACATTAGACTCTCAGAGCTCAGAGGGTAGGACTCAGGCCCAGTGTTTATAACCACCTCACCCCACTGCTGCCAAAAAAAAAAAAAATCTCAAAACAAAACAACAAACACGCCCAGATCTGGAAACTCCAGCGTGTAATCTCAGCTGAGCATGGCTACTGAGATGGTACGAAGACATCAATTTCCACCCCACTCCACACTGGGATGTAGGTCTCAACTCTGAAATTCTAGGTCCCTGACCGAGGAAGATGCTATCCAGTGGGGAGATGAGACTGATCTATTGGAGCAGCTGGCCAAGCACCTGCCTGAGTCCCAAGGGAAGAGGAAGACGCAGCAACAAAGGTTTCCTGGGGGAAGCTGGTGCCTGGAGCACTGCCAGGTGGTGGTGGTTCTGGGAAGGATGAGCAGGGCCTGAAGCCAGGTGCTTCTTGCCACCTGACTCTTGGCAGGGGTCCCTGCAGGCCCTTTGCTTGGGACCACAGGCAGGGCTGCCAGCACACAGAGCCTGCCAGCCTAAAGGGAGAGCCCTAGACTCTGGAGCCAGGGCCTCAGAGCCTGGCCATCTCATCCTTTTGTACAGAAACGAGTTGGAGATGGCTAGAACTCTCCATGCTTTATAAATAGTATTTCTAGTTCTGGATAAAACCTTCACTGGTCACGTTATTCAACAGGTCTGCCTGAAATGACTTGAAGGGACATGAAAATGAACATTTTGAAAACTTTTCAATGGTCTGTGACCTAGCATCTTGATGAAGATCCTAACGGTGGAGATAGGATTAAATGTATGTGTAGTTTATTTTTTGAATCAAACTCATGACCTTGCGCTTGCCAGACAGTTGCTGTGCCTCTGAGCTGTATCCCTGGTTCCATGTATGTGTAATTTAAAAAACAAACAAATCCAGGCAAGTGGTGCACACCTGTAATCCTAGAATTTGGGAGGCTGAGGCAGGAGGATTGCCACGAGCTACAGGCCAGCATGGGATACATAGTGAGACCCTGTCTCAAAAAAAAAAAAAAAAAATCAATAAATGTATGTGTAACTTTGCTAAGAAAACATAATGGGTTTGGACCAATCGCAGGCCAACAGGACCCCGTGGTTGAGGAGAAGGTGGTTTCATTTTTTGTGTGCACCCTAATTCTCTCAGTGCCCATCCAGTGTTCCTTATTCTTGGGGGCCACTAAGGTGTGCTGAGCCCAGGTGGATGCATGTGGGGTTCAGTTCAGGAAGCTGCAATGGCCTGGGAATCCTGACAGAGGATAAGGGTCTCTGTGATGGGGGGGAGGCAGGTGGGGAGGGCTTTGGGAAGATGTGTGAGCTGAGTCTTTGAGGACAAGTGGGGAGGAGTGAGCCCAAGCGGGGGCTCTGCAAAGAGATCTTGCAGGGCATGAGTGGACATGGGGAGCCACAGCAGACCTGGTGACCTCAAAGTAAAAGGAAGGAGAGAAATGGGGAAAGAAAGAGGGCAGGCCTGAAAGGGCAGAGTGTCCAGCTCAGAGAGAAGCTGCCTGGTGGAGAAGGAGAGAAGGGGTGGTGGTGTCCAGCATAGCGCCGGTCTGGGGCCTCTGTGGACCTTCAGGGTGGTGCTCTCAGGGGTGGGGTGTGTGTGCCCAGTAGCCCTAGGCTTCCTCAGGGACGGGTTAATGAAGCCTGGACTCCTGTGATGTCACCGGGCCTGGCACAAGCAGGGGGCTGTAACTGCCTCTCGACCCACGCCAGAGCCATGGATCACAGCCAGTGGAGACTGTGTAGGGAGGATGCTGTGGGGGACAACTGTGCTTCTGACCTTCCTGTGGGGCAAAGGGCCCCCTTGGGGGTCACTGCTGCTTATTTGGGCAAGTGTCTTCTGGCCTGCCCAATTCCCATGTGTGTCTGGGACAGGAATTAGGAGGGCTTTGGAGCCTCCACCTGTAGGCTGGTGTCAGGGCTCAGATGATGGTGCTGAAGGAGGAAAATTAAATTTTTAAATAAACGCCTGCCCGGGATGTCCACCAAGACCAAGCAGACACGTCCGGCAGGTCCAGTGACAGAACACTATTTCTGTGTAAATCCCTGGGGTAACTGGTGGCCTCATGATGTAACTTACCATGTAATGGGACATTTGTTCCCACACTTTGTATAGCTGAGAGCCTTACCATGGAACCTGCAATGTGCAAACTCCTTCAGCAACCCACACTGTCACCAGCCCTCCAATCACATGCGCCACATCTGCGTCTGTACCTCTCCACTCACTTTCCTTTTAAAAGCCCTGAAACCCTGCAGGGCAGGGCTGGCTCTCTGGGAGAGACCCTGGTCAGAAGCCCAGCGGTGTAATAAGCTGCCTCCTTGACCTCCTCAGTGCTGTTTCTTCCCACGTTTGGCCTGTTTTCTGCAAACAGTGCAAGGGCTATAAGTGGCCCCTGTCTGGTGTGTGCAGAACTGCCAGCATCAGACACATGCAGGGTCTTCCAGTCTCTACAGGGGTTTTAAGGATGGGAAGACCCTCAGGCAGGCTGCTGGGCTGGAATGGAGTCAGGACAGAACGCAGCCCTGGAGTCCCTGTCGCCAAAAGCAGGCAGCTGTTTCTCTGGATTCCAGAGCTCTGGTTTGTGAGATTCACCTATTCATGTTGCTTTTTATCTCCCAGCTCCAATCAGCTTTCTCCACCACTTTCTTTGCTTTATGAGGCTCTTTAGCCTCTGCTCCCGCCCAGCTGCCGTTTCATCTCACAATTATACCTCGAGAGCCTCCAGCGATGAGGGTTCCCTGAAAGGCAGAGGGGAGAAGGAACTGTCCAGATTCAAGGAGACTAAAGACTAAAGAGATCTGACAACTAAATGAACCATGGCATCTTGGCTGCAGAAAAATAGTGCTATAAAGGACATTAGCAACAAGTGAGAGCCGGGATGGATGGGAGATTTTGCCAAGAGCATCATTTCAGAGTTGAATTCCTTATCTGTTAACTGTGCCATGGTTGGTTAAAAAAACAACAACCTCTGTCCTTAGTGAAAACACACTGACTTGTTAAGGGGTAAAGTGGCCTGCCTTATGCACATTCTCAAATGGTTCAGAAACAAATAGCACATACTATTAAAGAAATTCACGGGATGACTTACTCCCTGCCAGTTCCAAAGAGAGAATTAGGAGGAGAGCATGAGACAGATGGTAATGACACATCAGTCCCCACTTGTAGTGGCATCCTCTGAGGGGTACCCACACCATCTCCTCGGCTGTGGGCCAGCATGACATGGACACACTGTGGTTCTGGGGTCCACCATGGCACTGTCAGCTGGGTGAGGACTCTGGAGTCCCACAGCCTAATGCACAGCTCCATGTACACCTGCTCAGACTTTCAATCACCCAGCACCTTCTGGACACCATGGCCTTTTGGGGGGATCTCAGCCCCTCCAGAAACACCTGCTTATGCAATCTCCATGCCAGCTGAGAAGGGATAGGTGGGGGCAACTCAGAGCCCCATTCTCCCCCCCACCCCATTCCAGCCACAGCAAAGGGGAGGGCTTGGGCCCCTGTGCCCTCCCTCAGGATCCTCTCAGAGGATTCTGGGTCATCCAAGTGTGAAGAGGTCCAGCAGGTCCTTCTGAAGAGGAGCAATGGCCTTTGCGTCTGACACCAGAAGTGGTGAGCTGGCGCTGTGCTCTTTAGAGGGTGGCAGGGGGCCGAGAATATGCCAAGTTAACAGTGAGCAGGGGCATCATGGTCTCATCATCTTCCTTGGGGAAAAAAACCTACCTCCCAAGACTATGGATTACCAAAGGAGTGATCAGCAGAGTTCACTGTGAGCCAAGCACCATGTTGCGTGGGGCAAGAGCACCAGTTCTGTCATTGTCATCTTTATTGTAGGGGAAAAGACCAAGACAGGAGCCCCCATGCTCCCTAAGGTGGGCAGGGTGGGAGTTTAGAGGTTGTACGTTCTGTGATCTATATGGAAGAGACAGGGCTGGTGTCCACCCAGAACTCCAGTTGTGTAAACAGCTATATTCTGTGTCCTGAGTCTGGGACTGAATCAGGGCAACTTTCTCTAAGAGAAGTCGGCCTACAGGTTGCCTAGTGACCCATGCAAAAATGAGTAGGATGAAGTGGATCCTTATACTCAAATGAGCCACTCAGGGCTGGGTGTGGTGGCTCACACCTATAATCCCAACTACCTGAGGAGCTGAGGCAGGTAGATACCATTTAAAGCCAGTCTGAGCAACTTACTGAGAAGCTCTCTCAAAATACACAAGTAGGGCATGTAGCTTAGTGGTAGAGGTCTTCCTTAGAAGTCCTTAGAGTGCCCGGGTTCCATCCCCTCAGTACCATGCAGAAAAAAAATCAGTTGCTCAGAGGTGAATGGCTACACCAGTGCAGGCAGTAGGTCAGCAGGCAGGGCTGTAGGGCCAGAGTGGAACTGACAAGTTCCAGGGCAGTAACATCTCAGAATGAGAAAAGCCAGCCAGCAGTGAGAGCCACACAGGGCAGGAAAAGCAGAGCGAGGAATCGCTCTCGTGCATCGCGCTTGTACAAGGGGCCAGGCACTGCTCTGGGATTCTGGCATGTTTTTCACACATAAAAAATCATAATCCACAAAGCAGACATTATTGTTATTCTTTTTATAGATGAGAAAGAGGCAAAGAAGAGGTTAAGCAACTGCTCGAAGCCTGGGTCAATCTGGTAGAGCTGGGCCTGCCCGCTCCTGCAGCGCCCACAGTATCACCCTGCAGTCTCCATCAAGGCAGGTGGGTGTTGTCTGTCGCAGCACTCTGCAGAGTTCCTTCTCCTCTCTTGCTTTACTCTCGGTGGATCTGAGTCCCACCCCCATGGAAGGCAGCTGATTACGATTTGAAGAGCTCCCGGGCAGGGGACAGGCAGGACTCTCCCTGGTCTCCCGGTACCATGGAGGTGGTCTCTCAGGCTGCTCATGTGTGAGGCCCTCTTGGCTGTGGGCTGCCATCTGGAACTGGCAGCATGCGCTGGGCAAGCAGGAGGCTGGTTTAGCTGGAAGTTTCCTAAGGACAAGTATCTGAGGTGACGACAGCTGGGTGGGGGTGGGGGACCTGCAACAATGAGCACTTTGGTACCAGAAAGGAGTCTGCTTGGTGGCGCCTGAAATTCCATTCATATTTGTGCCTGTGGATAAACACTACTGCCACCCACACAGACAGTGGGGGCTGTGTCCCAGAAAGTGGTGTGCAGGCTGGAGGCCCAGGGAGGTGATGGGCAGCACCCTAGTCCCCAGACTCAAGCCTTTGCTCCAGCACCATGACTTCTACAGGCAGCTGGCTGCCTTGCTCTGATGCCACTTTAGGTGTGAACCTTGGGCCTGCGGAGGGACATGGGGCCAGGAAATGCCTGGGTTAATGGGTCTCCGCTGCTTGCCTTCCTGTCTGACCCATTCGAGGTCGGCTGGCCAAAACCCCTTGGCCCTCAGGAACAGGAAGGCTGAGCCTCCACACCCAGCAGGTGCCTCAGGGTGACTGTCTTTAAAAGTGTGGGGCTGCAGCCCAAGTCTCTTGGGGCTCATGAAAACTGGAGCTCGTGTGTACTTGTCACTGCAAACGTTCAGTGCGTGCTTAGACACAGTGTACTGGTATGAAGCAGTAAGTCGCTACGTAGGTGAGCACCTATGGGCTTCCAGCAGGGGAGGGCCGACTAGATGTGGCCTACATGCCCCCAAAGGTGCTTCACTGGGGCCAAGGTGCTCCACTGGCAAAGTCCGAGGACGTCTCCTGTCTGGACAGTGAGTCCTGCATGGCCTCTCTCAGCAGTGGTCCAGGGGCAGCGGGGGAGTGGGGCCCACACAAGGAGAAGCAGTCCTGCTCAGACCCCTCTGCTGCCTCCTGCTAGACTCTGGGCCTCAGCCCCAGCCTCCCCATTATCTCCAAGCCTCCCCTTCCACTGGGCAATGTTCTGCTGAAGTCCCGGGTTCACAGTGTCGCCCTACCCCTCCCTCACTGGGTTTTGGGGGCCCAGCCCTCTCAGCCTCTGGACGGCTGGCTCAGGATGGTACGAATGAACACACTGCTTTCAGGTTCTGTTTCACCTTCCAGGGTTTCTTTATTCAGTCTGAAGATCATAGTCAGTGACTTGGTCCAGCGCTCTGGCTCCAGAGAGGGAATGGGAAAAGCTGGATCACGTTTTGTGCCTTTTTTTTACTACCAAGAACTGACTCCCAACAGCTCTGGGCACTCCAAGGTGTAACAATAGCATTTCTTATTTACTTTTTCTTAAGAGAATTTCAGAAAAAAATAGATCTCTATCAAATATATATATCTGTATATATCTGTATTTATATATCCACATACACAGAGAACCTTCGCCCATGAGGCAAAGGACAGAGTATCCCCTGATGTGGGAGTCAGCCTTCTAGAAACCTCCAAACCCACAAGGCTGAGCCAGGGCAGCTCCCTCTCCCTCTGAGGAAGCTGTCACAAATGAGGTGGCCCTCCCCAGCCTTCTCCCACTCCTCAAAGTGAGATGTGTACCCTGGAACAAGCGCCCGTCAGAGGGAACTTCCTGCCATGCCCTGGGGGACTGACTTCTCCGGGCAGAGTTCCAAGTGTGGAGCAGCAGGTGGGGGTGTCAGCATGTTGCGGATCCCGAGGCCTGCTCAAGCACGGACTGGGAGCTCGCTTGGTAGTCTTCAATCACGGCTCCAGGGACCCCTCAGCGGGGCACATGTCTCACAAAACCCTTCGGTTTGGGGGCCAGTCCTCGGGTCTGCCCCTCCGTGTTACTCCAGGGGGATCTGCCTTTAGGAAAAGGCATGGACTGACTTTGGGCGTTGGAAACAGCTCCATCTAGAGCTGTTTCTGGTGTGTCCTGAGGCCTGTTTAGGGACCACCAGCCTAGGGCCAATGGAGACCAGTGGTGCTGGGTCCTCTACAGGTGAATCAGGTGGGTGGACAAGGAAGAGTGTTAAGACTCTTGTTCTGTGTCCCTGGCTAGACAACCAGAGGCCTAAAGGCACTTGGTGGCTGATTGAAAGAGCACATGGGGTCCCATTGGCCTCCAGACAAAAGGCAATGCTAGGCATCACTGGCTATCATGGAGTCTGAGAGGAACCTGGGGGTGCCAGTTTTCCCTGAGCCAGCAATCTTAGGCTGTGTATGTCTTGCACAAGGCCTAGGAGCTATCTGGGAAGTAAGACTTGGGAATGGGGGCCCTAGAGCCCAAGGAAGGGTTGGGGGAGGGGACCTCAGCTTCGAACTCCTTCAGGAGTCACAAAGGCAAAGTCAAGGAGGGTCCATGCTAGTCTGTCTTCCAAGGCCCTGAGAAGGAATGTGGGGAACGCTTGACTTGGCCGAGGGTAGCTCATGGGGTTCATCTTTTGTAGGGCAGAGGCTCTGGACTGGAATCTGTCCAAAGCTAGGAAATCCAGGTACCAGGAATGTGGGGGGCAGGGCCTGGGGCCAGCTACCCAAGACTCACAGCCCACCTTCAGATGATGTGGCCTTCCATCACCCCTGCTCATAAACACAACGGTGCCTAAGCTGCAGGGAGCTAGGAATCTGCTCTGGAGGCAAACCTTGTCTGCCCAGCTCTAGAGCAGCAGGCACAGGCTTCGAGGGCCTGGAGGGAAGGGGACAAGGCGGGCTGCAGCCTGCAGAAGCGTTTACTACCTCTGCACTCCCTGAGGCCCACATCCGGATGCCACTGTCCCCCCACCTGCTGCCGCAGTGGGCTCAGAGCTCCCTGGGGATGATGGAGAAGGGCAACACAGGGCTGCTGGCCTCCAGCTCCAGTGCCGTGAGGAAGCAGTCAGCGGCGGCCTCCGTTTGGCCCTGGGCCTGCAGCACCTCGCCCAGGCCCTGCCAGGCCTCGTGGCACGTGCTCTGCCTCTCGACGGCATCCCGCAGCACCTTCTGAGCCAGGCTCTTGTGGCCCAGCTGGCTCAGCATCAGACCCTGAGGACCAAGCACAGAGCAGGGTTAATGTGGGCATCCTTGGACAGGGGCACCCCAGTGACCAGGGCCAAGAACAGGAGCTGCTCACTTACCGCCACCAGCCAGAGAGGCCCCCATCTGTTGTGCTTTTTACTTAAAGCCTATCTGTCCCCACCAAGGCCTGCTTCAACTCCAATCTCCCGGACCACCCCCAACAGGACACTGTCCTCCTAGCTCAAGGGAAAGGCTTCCAATCCAGACCCTGTTTTCAACTGATTCACCTAGGGGATGCTGGGAAAGTCACAACTCTGGCTCTTAGCTTCCTTACAAGTAGTAAAATCACAGCGTCCTCCTCTAGGGCAGCTGTGAAGCTGAAATGAGTCACTGAATGTCAAGCACTTGAGGAGGAGGAAGTGGTGCTGGTCCTTGCTGCCCGGAGCACACAGCTGCTCTCACCTCAGAGGCCGCGAGGCCAGGTGTCCATTACAGGGCCATGGCCCTGCATCTGAAGGGCAGAGACCCACACCCACAGCAGGCCTGTGTCAAGCAGCCGAGTGCCACCTGACAGATGAGTCACAGGAGAGTGCCAGGCCAGCAGCGCACAGGCTGGTCATGGTGAGAGGCTGCGTGTGCTCAGTGCCTGGGGTCTGGCTCAGAGCAGGTGCAGAGGAGAGCCCTGCAGTTTGGCTCAGACAACTGTTGCCACAGAACTACAGGGACGTGACAGAAACTGTCACAGAAAGGAGCTAGGATGTGAAACAGTCACCCTGTCCTCTGCAGACCCTCTCCGGCCCACACTGGGAAGGGAGCGGGGCACAGCGTGGGGAGAGCGGGGTCCTCTGTAGACCCTCTCCCGCCCACACTGGGAAGGGAGCGGGGCACAGCGTGGGGAGAGCGGGAGGGTCCCAGAAAGGCTGCTGCACACCACCCCCTCAGTCTCTGTCCTACTCCTTGAAGACAGCGCAGGGTGGTGGCCCTGCTGCTGCTTTCTCTTGTTTCAAGGGAAAAGGTAAAAGCCCAGCACGGACTTTCGCGGGAGGGGGGCTGGGGAGTTTGCTTCTCCATCCCTGGAGCCCTGCTCCTGTGTCTGCCCACTGATGGACATGTACATTTTTAGCTAGATCATTTTCCTCCTCCTTGAGCTCCCCAGAGTGAGGCCCTGTGTTGCTATGGAGACATACTGGGAAGGATGCACATGGCTGATTACATGAAGTCCTCAGAGAGCTTGGAATGCAACCAATTAGGCAAGAGAGAAAGATGGTATTCAGGAAGCCTAGGAAGAGCCACCTTCTCTGAAGATGCTGCCTCCAAGTCCCGTGGCTGGAGGCAGGAAAAGGAACTGTACTCATGGGGCCCTCATTTAATCTGCATAGCTGTACCCAAGGAATCACTAGTGCCTGAAGCCAAGGAGCAGGGACAGGCAGGGGAGTGGTGGGCAGGGTGGCACCCTGAGCAGGCCCTAGCTCTGGCCAGATGTGCACATGCTGACTCAGGGCTGCCTGGGGCGGGAGCAGTGTCTGTCTGGCCAGCAGGGCCCCAGGCCAAGCTGCTCTGCCCACACGGCCTGAGTGCCAGACCCTAACAGCTCACAGTGGAACAGGGCTCACAAGGAGGAGGGAAGGAGGATGGGTGGTGGCTGCCAGGCACCCAAATTAAGCACCAAAAATGGAAGGCCTGGAGGCCTGTGAGTCTACCCATGAGGAGCAACAGAGGGGAGAGTGGCTTTGAGGCTCTTTACAGAGCATCCTTCCATGTGAGATTTTGGGGGACGAAAGGACACTGCCGCTGAGACTGGGAGTCTTAGCAGGGCTGGCTGGATGCATATGTGTGTGTCCACGTCGGAGGAGATTCCCCTGTGTGCCGAGATAGAAAGCTGGGACCCAGCGGCCACAGGCCTAGCAGGATTAGAACCCCAGTTCCCACTGAAAAGTACTATGACCACGGCAAGTGGCCAACCTCTGAGCCAAGGCTTCCCTGTCTATAACCAGGAGATTGGAGAGCCTGGGCTCCCAGGATTGAAGGGAGCACTCTCCAGCCAGCGCACACAGTGGACATATGGCAACTGGCAGCATCTCCAAGATGCACAGAGGAGGGAGTGGTACAGCTGATTTCTCTAGTGGCCGGGGAGGACACAGCTCTGGGGTAGGGGGACTGTGGGCTGAACCCTGGGGTGCTGACCTGGGAGCCTGAAAGGAGACACCAGCCACGCTGGGGTCAGGCTGGGGCCCAGAGGCCCAGGGCCTGTAACAGGATCTGCTGCCACCTGCCCCCAACACCATCAGCATTTGTGTTTGGTAGCAACTTGGAGCTGTTTGCTGCCTGACAACCGGGCAGGATCCAGTCCCAGCAAGACATGAGGTCTCACCTGCTCTGCCCCCAACCCAGCGCTGCAGCAAGCCCACTGTTCCCACCTGGAACCCTACCCATCATCTAGCAAGACAGACGGTGGGGAGGCAGTTCCACCAACACGTCCTGTTCCCCGCCTGCTGAGTACGGAGACCAGGCCCACTGAGACACTCTGCTCCTGGTCCCCAAGGGTTAGAGTTTATGGCAAATGGCCATGGCACCTGTAAGGGACACCTGGCTGGTTACAGCCATCAAGATGGTCTTGGGGAGGGGTAGGGCTGTAAGAGAAGGCCCCAGAAATTCCCACCTCCACCAGCTCCTTCCTGCCCTCCGGGCTCGCAGGGAGCGGATGCCTGGCCACACATCACCTGCCAGGGGACCTGCCTTCCCTAGAAACTCTCCCAGAGAATAGTGGTCCTGGCCCACACAATCCCCTTGAGGTGGTGCTTGGTTACTAAGAAGCTCCTGTATGCCATCTTATCCAGCCCCCTGTGCCAGGGACAGGGCCTGTGTCTCCTGCCTGGTTTTCTTTTCTCCATCAGAGAGCAGCTCAACAGGGACAGAACAGGACAGATCCTGAACGCAGAGCTGGGTCATCAGAGGCACATGGCTGCTTCCTGAGCTGGACTGCTGCCTGGGGATGCTGCCAGCAAACCTGGCCTCTTAGACCATCAGTGCAGGCAGTCTGGGGCCTTGGTCTTCTGGTCTGCAAGGAGACGCTCAGTGGGGACCTACCCATTAGGAGCAGGCTCTCTCTAGGGTGACAGTCTGAGGTGAGGAGGAGGGGGAAAAGGGTCTCCCGGCCTTTTTTAGAATTAGCCCTGAACTCTATCCTTTCTTGCGGAGTGCCTGATGATGTCCCCCGGAGAAGAGGGACAGCAGGAAGCCCTGGGAAGGGTCTGCCTCTTTCATCTTGAGGGGAGCCTGCCCTGACCAGGCCAGTTGCAGCCAGGCCAAGTTCTCCTCTCATCCCCTCTTGGGTATTTATAGAAGTTATTTTGGGAATTTTCTTTCTGAGCTCAAGGCACATTCCTGGGATTCTGTAACAGGCTTTCCAGCTGGAAAGCTGGGAATCAGTTAGAAGTTCCTGGAGCCTTTGGGTCCCTGGAGCCCCGTTTGGGAAGGAGCCTGCTCTAGAGCAGGGCACGCCTTGAGGAGGCCACGCCAGGGCGTCTCAGCATCTCTGTTCCCCCAGGTATATCCTCCTCCTCCTGTCCACCTGGCTGGGCACTCAGCCCCCCCCCCCTTCCCGGACAGGGCTGCTCCAAGGCATCAAGTTGGTCTACTTCCCTTCCATATCCTGCCCCCAGGACCCCGTGGGTTCTCAAGGAGGTTCTGGCTGAAAAGATCCCTGACTCTGTGGGAGTCCAGCCTAGATGGGGTCTCCTGGTGTAGCAGTGGCTATGTTGCTCCTGTGGCCAAACCCACACCTTCCCTTCCTTTTCCTGGGTGCTTGAGAGGTGAGAAGTCTGCTGGGGCTGGGGCTGTCTTTCTGCAGAGGGCAGGGCCTGGCTGAGGGGCTGACCACATGATGGGTCATATCCTAGGGGAATGCAGAGCCTAAGAACCCACTCTGTCAGCCCAGCTTGGGACAGAGCTGGGCTTATCTCTTCCTGGGCTGGTGATGGGTTCTGGGCTGGCTGCTGGTCTTGCCCACCTGGGAACATGGCCTGTTCAGTGCTAGGTCAGGGGGTTGCAGCTGGGCCTCTAGATCCTGGGTTCTAGAAGTGAGCCCTCGGTGTTGGGGAAAAGGGAGCCCAGTCTCTGAGCAGGAGGCTGAAGCTAAAGGGGCAGTGTTTGGGGGCCACACACTGCCTCCAGATGGGTAGGTCTTTCCCATTCTTTTGTACACAAAATAGATTTCAAAATTAAATTTCTAACTATGGCTGCTCCTTTACAAGTTATCCTTTGTAGAATTCTTCCCCACCCTTGACTGGTATTCTAAATTTTAAAGAAAAATCAAACCTAGGTAATAAAAATGTTAATGGCTAAATAATCCTTCTTTAGATTTATAAAACTCAACACCTAGTGACTGTCACATAACATCAGAATGTGTAACCCCCTCTCTCATTTTTCAGTCTTGTGCATCAGCACAACGCTTGTGACTTACGGGAATGCATGGCATCAGGCAGTATTTATCGGTGAGGGGTAAAAAGAATTCATAATAAACCCAGCCCACTAAGAGGTCAGATGACCAAGGCATTCCTGCCGAACTTGCCTGCCAAAGAGAACAAACAAATATTCCGCATCTCCTGGAGGTGCTGCGGCAGGTGCAATCAACGTGCACTTTCACTTACTCTCTGTATGCTTTCTCTACAGGTACCCGTGTGTGTGCATGCACACATGAGTGTGGAGCAAAAGCCAAGACTCCTGGGTCTTCCCACTCTCAGGATCCCTGGGCATCTCCAGGTCATGTACCACTGCCAGGAGAGGCAGAGGCAGGAGCAGGCTGTGGGGGAGCATCTTAGACCCGGGACACAGGGCACACATAGCAGAGGCCAGTGGGCCCTGAATCAAAGACCATGCTGCTTTGTGTGCTGTGCTCCATCTAGCATTAGGGAACCTCTGAAATGTTGGGGGAGTTTCACTTCTCAGCTGCTCAGGCCATCTTTCCTCCTCTAAGTCAGGAAACAGCTGGTGAGCCAGCCTGCAGTCAGGCCAGAGCACAGGGCCAGTCCACAGCTGCCCGCCACAACACCTCCTCCCCAGTCGCCTTGGGTTAACCAACGCAAGGGGCTGCAAGACAAGGTCCCACCTCCCCATCCTCCCTCCACTCAGATCCCCATGAAGCAGGCTGTCGCCCGCTCAGCTCAGGTCAGCCTGGCTTTACATCATGCGCCCTGGCCTCATGCACACGGCAGCGGCGGCCTGTGTTCTGCACACCATGCTGTGACCACACATTTTGGGTAGACTCAGTAATGACTGGGCTATTTCTCTGCAATGAGCCTCTGGGGCTTGGCTGAGGGCTTCCACTTCCCTCAGCAAACCAAGAGTGTTTGAACAGGGCCTGGGACTTACGTTTCAAAGTGAAGAAGATATAAATAATGCCACCCAGTGTCCCATCAGCTTACAAAATTATTTAGCATAATTCTAACAGTAGCCCTAGATGCTTGCCATAGGGGTCACCATTTTACAGACAAGAACAATGGGCCTGAGAGGTTAAAGAATTGGGATAAGAGAGGGCTCAGGTGGACTTGAAGGCTATGCCCCAGCCTGTGCATACTTCCCCCAGAGCAAGCTATAGTACTGGGGTCCTAAAAAAACAACCCAGTTAACCAACCCCAGAAGAAACCCCAAAGCAGCTCTGAGGTCCCTGACCTGTCCCTCAGCACTGTGCTGGGCGTCACGGCTCCCCTGCAGCACCAGGCCACAGGTGGGGTCCAGGCTCAGGCCACTCACCATCAAGCCTTCTATGTACACAGTGACAGAACGCCCAGTGCTGACTTCTCCTTTCCCAGTGTCCAGTGAATCTGAGCCCTCTGAATTCACAAACACCGGCCTAGCGAGGCAAATAATACTCAGGCATCTCCATAACTTGAAGGCAGAAGGGTGTCTGTCTGTCTTAGGCCTGTCACCCCTTGTATTAGACCTGGTCTTTTCTGCTGGGTCCACGGAGCACCTGAAAGCCCAGCCTGGAGCCCTGGTCTTCAGTGACATTGGTGTCTCCTTGGGGAGCTTCTCGTTAGGGGAATGAGATTCATGTGTCACAGCGTGCTACAGTCTGATGTCCCTTAAACCCTCCAAAGAACAAGGGAGGCACTACATGCTGGAAATAAGAGGAAAACAATGAAGGGAACAAGTTTACTGCCACAATATCATCAAGAAAGCCAAAGGTGACTGCAGCATCTCCCTGCCTTTCCAGGGCATGTGGAGACACATGAGGCTGTCACATGGCCAGGACTGCTTCAGAAACTGCCATCCAAGGATATATCATGAGAGGCAAAGCTTGTGCGGGGTGGTCCCTGCTACAGCTGCCTGAGAGAAAGAGATTCTGGGAGACCCTGAAGCTTGTCCCCAGGAAGGAAGCATGAAGTATTGTCCTTTCAGAGGCTGGCCCTGGAAGAGGAGGGCAGGTGCCACCCACAAACACCTTGCTGGCTCACTCAGGACCGAGGGCTCTCCCTAGACGAGCTGAGGGCAGGGGTCTGTCTGAGGCCTGGGTTGGGGCCTTCCATGGTGGCACTGAAAGGTGGCAGAACATGCCATCCCAACAGATGGCACCTTGGCAAGAGGACTGTTTTGAGTTGATGATGATAAAAAAGAAGCAGATATAAAGAAAGCTCTTATTCTCTACTATTTACCTAAAAGCAGGATACTTGCACAATTTCCAAGGGAGAACAAAAGTGATGGGTCATGGAAGACAACTTTGGATTTCCTCTCTGGGACCTGCCTTGGCAATAACACTGTAGAGTGGATACCAGTTGTCTCTGGGCAATATGCAAGGATGTGCCAACTTTCAGAGTTCACAGAGGCTGAGACAACTATTCTGTCTCTTACTGCCTACTGAATACTTTTACAATGACATCCCCAATGTTAGGTTGACTTTGACTGACTACTGGTCCCCAGCATGTTACATTATGCCCAAAATGCCCAAAGGTCACATCTATGCTAAGAGGGAAAAAACTGGTGTGATTGACTAGCAATGTCTGTCACTGGGAGGGGATGGAGGACGGTGGTGTCTATCGCATCAGACTTTCAAGTACATGTTGTGGTTAGAACAACACTATGGCCTAGGAACAATGAAGATTATTATCCATTTACCAAAGGAAACAGACACTACCTTCCAACTAACATAGAAGCTAAGTGTTTTCCCAAGTCAGCAGAGTGCATCAGGGTCACAGTCAGGGTTAGATCCCAGATGTCCTAAATACTAGGCAAGTACCAGGAAGACACTCAGATGGGGGAACACTGGAGAGCAATAGGCCAAAGTGTGCACAGATCTTTAGGAAAAGATGCTTGGTAAATCTTCCCCAGGCTTGCAATTTGCTATTCTTTATGCACATGTGTGGGATGCCGGCAGGAACAAAGCATGTGGAAAGGCGACAGGCTGCCCACGCAGGAGCTGACTGCCCCTCTGGTTGCTGGCAACTTTGAAAGGGGGTAGGCCTGACTCTGGTTTGCTCCAATTTCATCAAACTGGCACGGCACCCCAGGAAGAGAAAAGGGACCATTTCAGTAACATCTGCAGGGAGCTACTCTCAACGGCTATTCAGTTACCATGGAAACCCACCCTTGGAAACTGCTTCAATTTCGGGAAAATAGTTACAAACAATAATAAGCATAAATGAAAAATGGCACACTGTTACTTCAAAATTGTACTTGTTATTGGATTTTCTAGGGATTTAAGGGCCAAGACGCCAGGCTCATAAGGCAGGCTCATAACAGCGATCACAGTGGCAGGCAGACATCTCTGCCTGGCCGTGGGCCTGATGGCAGCCCACATCCCGCTTTCCGCCTCCCTAATCAACTTTCTGGATGTGACCTCTGGCAAGGCATTTATCAGAGAAGCTAATGTCTGAATTCTGGGAGGAAAGAGGATGTGCCTTGTGAAAAACAAAAACAAGAACAAAAACAAAACATTTTACTGGCCAAACAGCGGGTAACAGGAGCTGCTTGGAAGAAAGCGCAGCTTGGTGTAAGACCGTGTTATGGGCATTCTTGAGAGGGGGCTGAACACTCACACAGGCCTAAGCCAAATTCTTGAAGAAAGCAGGCAGCACGAATAAGAGCTGGGCTGGGAATCCCATCCTATCCCATATGCAGTGGTGCCAGGCATTGGAGAGAAACTTATCCTTACAGAGATGACTTGGTCCAGCCCCTCTCTCATGTGAGTCCATTCTCTTGGCAAAATCCTCCCCAGATGGTCGCTGAGAATGTACAAGACTATGCTAAGAGTTATAGCTTGAAAGCCAACACCTTGGATTTCTGCTCATGGACATACCTGACCTTTCCATGCATCTGCAGTCAAATGCTCTACCACTGAGCTATACCTCCTGTTCTGGAACCATTCTCTGCACCCATTCTGTGTCCCTCTTGTGGCAGATGTCAGGGATACCCTCACGCCGTTAGCAAAGGACTCTGGAGAGGGACATCAGAGGTAGAACCCACCCCTGACAGGGAGAGACTTGCTAACCATGGCTCCTACACCATCCTTCAAAAGTCACTAGGGCATCTGCAGGCTTGTTGCCTTTCAGATTACCACATTTGTTCCTTCACCTGCTCTCTGGGAGCAGCAAGCCAAGCAGGGGAAACTCATTCTGTCTTGGGGAGACCACACCAGCTGTCAGAGCAGGAACTCAGTCATGGTTCCTGGACCAAAGTCTCCACTGGTGCATAAATACAACTGAGGCTTAGAGAAGGTACTTGCACACAGTCCCCAGGCAGACTGTGGTGAGGCTGGGTCAGGAGCACCAGTGTCCTGCTTCCCAGCCCCCAAGCCTTCCACAGGTGGGTCATGGTGCCCCAAGCACCCAAGTCCTCAGTCCGTGCCCTCAGACCAGGAACATTCTCCACATATACAGGTATCACACCTGACATGACAGCCATACCAGAGCACCCCTGAAGTCCAAAGAGACACACAGCTCCCCTGAAATGGAGCTGGAATGGAGACTAATCCAAGGAAAGGACCCTGGAGACCCCCCAGAGGGAACAGCATTTTGAGAACCTCTAGGGTTTGGGTTAGCCTCCAACAAGGCTAGAAGCCAGGGAAGAACAGGGAAAGCTCTTTGGGGATTATGACAAAAAGGAAGTCACAAAAAATACCAACCAACCCTTTCAGACCTTTTCCTCAATGCAGACACGGAGTCCACAGGGGTAAGAGGAAGCCACCCCATCTTCCAGATATCAGGGGAGAGAGGCCAGGGAAGAGCGGCAGCAAGAGACAGGCACATGCTGGGGTCCGGAGAGGAGCAGGGCCAACTCACCAAGCTGTGCATGATGCGTGCACCATCTGGGTTCACTGTGAGCGCCTCCTGGTACAGCTGCCTGGCTTCCTCCAGGCTGCCCTTCACCTCCGCCAGCCGGCCCCGCATGTAGAGCACGGAGTGAGAGGTGGGGAAGAGGCCGGCTGCCTCCTGGATGCAGAAGCCCGCCTCTTTCAGGTGTCTCTGCTCCATGAACAGCTCGGCTGTGGAGGCAGAGGAAAGGTGGGAGGTGTGAGTAGGGGGTCAGAGGCAGAGGCCCCAGCCAGCATCCCAGAGCCAAGGAGCTGGGCACTCTCCCGAAGTCACAGCACCAGACACCCTTCCTGTGGGGGACAGGGTGACCTCAGTAATAGGCCCTGGAGCCCCACGGGACAGGCATTCCACACAGTGGAGGGCTCCACACAGACTCCCTCAGTCAAGGCTTCCCAAAACCCTGGAGGACGAGTGCTGTTAATCCTGCTTTAGAGATGAGGGACCTAGGCACAGAGGTGACAGCAGCTGCCCAGGGTCGCTTGGACAGTAAGTGACGAAGGCAGGGTTTGTGTTGGACAGTCCGACTTCAGGGCCTGGCAGTGTGGACATAGGTGGGGTCCCCTGGGGCTGAGCACTTGCTCAGGAGTTTCTGTTTCAGACTCTGCCCCATTAGTTCACAGTGTGTCTGGGCAATGGGGCAGCTGAAGGTCTGGTGGCTTGGTGGCCATCTAGGAGGCCTCAGACTGGAGGCAGAAGAGAGGCTGCAGGGTTGACTGCCACCCACCGGTGGTACTCAGGATGAAGAGGGATGCACGCAGAGCCCCATGGGGAGCCTGGTAATCTTACCAAAGATGGGGGCAGAGGCGGGGGAGGGGAAGGAGGAGGAAGAGGAAGAAGAGGGAAGGAGGCTCAGTGGCACCTGCTAAGTGCCAGCAGAGAGCTCAGACCAAGGAGTGCTGGTGACTGCAACTACCTGGATTCATAGTGCATGGACCGCAGGCCAAGCCCTGACTCTGCAAAGCATTTCCTGTCATCCTCATGATCCTGCAGGTACGGTCGTGATCTCCACTTTAAGAAACGTGCAGACAAAAGGGCTCTTACTCCATCCCCACTGCCAGCAAAGGCAAAGTCATGACCTCCCCTCAAAGGAGATTCTGGTCATCGAGTAGGACCAGATCTGCCCAGAAGCAGATCAGCAGGAAGTGTTATCTTCTGTATCCCAGGACAGCCCACAGAACTGCACATTTCAGTCCCCTGGCGGACAGCGTCTGCCTTTTAGAAAGGCTGGTTGGAGGCCTCACAGCTCACTCTGCCCTCCTTCTAAAGCAGCCCCTGGACTCAGCTGCCCCACCCTGGGGCTGGCTCTCGGTGAATGGACGGGAGTGCAGGAGACCAGCAGAGTCGGGTTGTGGTTCTGCCAAGAGCTCTTCCTAGTAAGGGGTGAGAGCTGGGGTTACTCCACTCCACATCCAGGGTGGGGTATCTAACAGACATTCCTTGAGGAACTCCTGGGAAGAGGTGGACGAACCAAGCCCAGGCACCCTCTGCCTGTTCCAGTCGCAACAGAAAGGAGATTAAGTAAGGCCTCCCCCTATCACATGACACCTGGGGTCTGCCACACCCAATAATGTGACAGAGTGCTCTGGGTACGAGGATAGGCTCTCCTTCAATGGAAACAAGAATTGGGGAGAATCCGGCTCCCAGGATATGTGGGCAGAGGCGGAGGGCAGATTCCTGTCCCCAGAGACGGGCTAACAAGGAGACTCCCAAGGCAGACAGCACAGTAAAGCGAAGCCCAGGGATGGGCTTTGAGCCCAGGGCTGTACTCAGGGCTGGCCCAGGGCTTGGGGATTTCGCTCTTGCTGCTTTAGGTTTCCTCCTCTGTTCTGCTGTTGAGCTGCAGCTAGGAGCTCTGAACAGGCTGCCTTGGTAACTGAGTGTCCAATAGGGAGCTATGGACTGTACGCCTGGTCTTCCCGAGAGAAGGAGAAAGAACGGGATGGGAGTGGGGGTCTAAGTCCCTGAACTACTTGAGCCTGGGGCAGTGAAGTGACAAGTGCCAACTGAGGGTGTTACAGGCACTTAAGGGGTCAGCATGGTCAGGAGGCCTTTCTGGAGAAGGCATCACTGGCAGAGAAGAGAATGGAGATCACTGTGGCAGATTCCTCAGGCTCGCAGGAGAAGGAGGGGGAGGCAGGAGGCCTATGGCTGATGAGTGTTGTGGGGGGGAGGCTGCCCCCACACCCGTGCTTCAGGCTGCATCCCCCATCAGCAAGAGCTCAGCTCCGCTGAGGGCTCAGAGCTCAGGCTCTCCATGCCTGCACTTGGGGCTAGGCCCACTCGGCCAGGGCACGGCTCATTAAGCTGTTTACAACTCACTGCTCTGGCTCCTGAGCCCTCACAGCTCTGCCCCTGGACCTTCCCTTGGGAACTCCAACGAGTGCATCCGCACCAACAGATTTCAGGCAGGAGAGCCAGGCCCTGTGATTCACTGAGGGGCCAAACACCAGAAACGTGCCCTCAGGACATGGAGGGCTACTCTGACTCTTAGGAAGCCAGATGACACAGAGCAGAGGTCTCCCAGGGCTCTGGCCACACTGCACACAGCCACACAGGTCCAGGGTCCAGTGTGAGGCCTGGGGCCTGATGTGCACCTCCACTTCCTGGCCTCAGTGCCCCAGGCAGATGCCCCGGCTCCTACGCACTGCTTTACCAAACATGGTGCTCGCGACCAGTCAGCCGTGGCTGCAGGAGTAGCCCATGGCACTGTGCCCACTGCTGCCTGGATCCTCCCTTCCCAGCCTGGCACCTGGCCCAGGGCTGCCCACACCCATCCTGGCCTAGCCTGGCCGGGGCTGGACGAGCACAGGCTGCCCTGGTTTTTCCCTGTCTGGCACCTCGCTGACAGGGCCTCGGCGCAGGATCCCGGGTGTCAGAGGCCCTGAGGAATCTTGGCTCCTTACTCTGCCCTCATCCTTCTTGCCTGCCCCCCAGCCTCCTCTCTGGCCTGCCCCCCTGGTTGGTTTTCTTCCCCTCAGCTCTCTCCCCATCCCCTCATCCCTCTGTGCTTTCTCACCACAGGCTACAAATGGAAAACATCTGCTCCCTGGAGCTTTGCAAGAGTCGCTTTTACTGCTTTTCTCTGAGGCATCTCGGTCTAACCCTGTGCCCAGAGCTGGTTCCCGGCTTTCTGCTCTTCTTGCTGGAGCCCAGGCTCTCTGCCCCCGGAGGGCGGGTGGGCCTCACCCAGGCCAGAGAAGCCCAGAAACTGGGGGTTCAGAGCCACCTTTTGGGGCCTCCCCAGGTAAGCTGTGCAGAGACTATACCCCAAGAACTAGGAAAAGGGAAAGAGAAAAAAGAAGAAAGAGAAGAGAGGGAGCCATGTGGATTTAAGAGTTCAAAGACGCTTAGGGCCAGAGGGAAATACATTAGGCCCCAGAAGGAATCTGCCTTGGCTAAGCTTGAGCCCCAGTGTGAGCAGTTTTGGTGACCCCCAAAGGAAACAGAGAAACAAGCACCACCCCCTGACGCGCTTGGAATAGACCAGCAGGACATATGGACACCCAGAATAAAGGAGCCGGAAGGGGGAAAGAGTCACACAGAGAATCTAGAGGTGCTGAGGGTCAGGGGCCACATGGGGCTTCTTGCAGACAGGCGACTGTGAGGAGAAAGGAGGGAACCTCACAGCAAGGGATGGAGAGGATGTGGGAAGAAGGTACTGGAGGGGGTGGCGCTGGAAAAGAGGGGAGAACAAAGAAAGGGAAGAATGAAGAGCAAAGAAGGGCCTAAAAGTAGGAGAGCAGGCAAGACCAGGGTGAGAGCCTGCTTCCCCCTCACTGTGATCTGTAACATAACACCTGCTTCGGCCACAGCTGCCCAGTGTGCACAGCCCTCAGCTGAGTGACTTGCACCCGCGGACTGGGCACCTAAGGAACTAGAGTGCCACTGTCCAGACAGCATGAAGTGGCCCTAGATAGCTCAGGCCAGCTCCCCACAGGCACAGGGAGTCCCGAGCTGCACCCTCGGTCCAGCTCCCCCTTGCTGGCACTGTCAGCTTGACAGCAGGGTGGGGAGCACTCTTGCTGGGGTACAAAGCACCTCTCTGGGCCCTGGAGGACCAGAGGGGCCCGGCGGCCTCACCTCACAGCCCTACTGTCTAAGCGGAGGCCTCTCTCCCTGCCTGTGGCTGGTACAGAGGGCTGAGGAGGAGGGAGCTGGGGAGGGGCAGGGCGGAGGGTGAGAGCTGGGAGAGGAAGGAAGTGATTTTTCCCAACCAGAGTTGGCTTCATGACGGAACTTTCTGCCAAAACAGATTGAACTGCAATTTTATCTTGAACCAAACCAGGGAGATTAGCTTACTCCAAAATGATGAAGGGATCTCTTTCCCTTCCTATAAATTTGTGGCAGCTGGTAGAACCATGACTAGGGATGGAGTGGGGATGCTGAGGACAGTGTGCTGAGCCTGTGACAGATGGGGCAGCACAGGGAGAAGTCGTGGCCTTGGTAACCTGGCCCTGGCTGCCCTTTCCCAGCAAGTGCTTAGATGCTGATGCTGACAGCAGCCTAGGAGGGGAGAGCTCATGGGGTACAGACTGCCCCAGAGTTCTCGAATGCTTACAGTGAATGGCCCTTATGCAGCAGTCTATGCCGCGCCCCTTCTGCCCCTTCTTGTGATTTAAGGCTTTGTACATGCTGGTTTCCCAGCACTTTTGCACTGAGCTACATCCACGGGTCCCTTTTAAATTTTGAACACAGTCCTACTAAATTTAGCAAGAATTCCCAGGCTTCGAATCCTCCTGCTTCAACTTCCCGAGTAGCTGGGATTTCAGATATGTGCTACCATGCCCATGGATGCCTTGATTTTTAATGGGACCTAAGGAGTTGGGCACGGTGCACGCATATGATCCTCAGGAGGTGGAGGCAGGAGTGTCACCATGAGTTTGAGGTCAGTCTAGGCTACACAGTGAGTTCAAGACCGGCCTTAACTTTATAGCAAGACTCTGTCTCAAAAAAAAAGGATATATAGGCACCCATAATAATGCTATCTGCTGGAGTCCTTTGCAGTTAGGGTAATAAATAGTGGAGTTCTGGCCAATGATTCCCCAGGGGAAGCCATGTATGTAAATTCCAAGCTATGTCCTTTTGGGGAGCTTCTCCCTCTTTTCCCATTTACACCCTGGAATGTGAATGTGACAGGGAACCATCTGTATCACATGCGTAAGAGCAACACCCTAGGGACAGCAGAGCTGTCATCCCAGCTGAGGTTGTCACGTCTGGTTACATGAAAAAGAAATTACATGTACGCTGTGTAAGGCCCTGCAATCCTGGGTCTGTACCTGCACCCAGATTGCCTCCTAACATTACCCTGCCCAGCCATCACCTGGCACAGTGTCCAAGCATTCGATATGTGACATCCAGGATAATGTCCACAGAAGAAAGACCAATATGCAACTTACTGCCAGGCATGTTTATGTCAATGTGTCCTGGTCTAACGACAGGTTTGGGGAAGGCCTTTTACCTGACAGCAGCACAGGCCAGCACCACAAGCAGAACTGCAAGCAGGGCTGGGATGTACCCATGGCAGTGAACATGGCGAATGTTCCCTGGGAGAGGCCTTGGGAAGTACAGAGGCCCCACGTGGGTGCTATTCCCACCCCATGCACACAGGCGGGGCCGGGGTTCCCTTCTGCCCCTGGAGAGTCCAGATGGCTCCACATCTTGGGAGATGGCAAGAGAATCTTGGCCTAGAATGAGGCTTGTTTATTATTCTCTGGTTTCAATATTCCTCCTACTTATGATCCACAAGCTGTGCTGCTCCCCCTCCCCAATCTTCCTGGCATCCTGAGGGACCTGAGATGCTAAGTGGAGCAGTATTTGCATTATGAAAATGCTTCCAGGTCTAGCCTTTCTGTGGATCCTGGTCCAAAAGAATGTTTTTCCCATATTCAGAACCTGCATGGGGAGCGCAGGGGCGTGCTGCATATTAATGTGGCCGTATGTGCAGAACATGCGAAGGAAGACCTCAGAGCTGAGGTAATGAGCACCTTCTGCAGCCTGATCCACCATCCTTCTCCTCCAGCTCCCCGAGGACTGCAGCCCCACCCCAATTGCAAGCTTGGCCTTCTGCATGATCCCTCAGCTTCCCCTCCATTCTTTTGCTGCCATTTATTCTATTCAGACACTAAACACCCTTGGCACTGATTTTCTTCCTTTTTACACTAATCCACCTCCTGAACTATCATCCAGTTGTCAAACACTCTGCAGCACATCCTCACTAAGCTGAGCACAGGCCACTCTGCCTGCACCTCATATGGCCTCTGCCTCCACCGATGGGAAGCCAAGCACCCCTCAGGGAGCACCTGCTACAAGCCACGTTGGTCGCTCTGCACATCAGTGCACTCTGCATCAGGCACCGGCCAGTCTGTGTGACACCAAAGTCAGGGTTTCCTGACACCAGCCTCCCAGCATTCACCAGCCACAGGGGCAAGGGTGCCAGCTGGTGACTGCAAGGGACTGCCACCTGGACGTTAGTCTCTGGGCTACCAGACCTCTAGTCCATTGGTGGGGATTGTCCCAACCTCAAACTCCCTCCCAGTTGTGTTTGCTGCCAAAAACCTTTGCCAGGTAGGGAGACATGCATGCTCTGCACTGGGCCAAGAAGGACACCCAGAGCCACACACCTAGGTGACCTGCTTGAGATAAGCAAAGCAGAAGAGCTTGCTTCTGCTTTGCCAGGGTCCTGACTGCACAAGTACCCTGTACCACCTCCCTACCCCCATTCCAGGGCAGGCCTGGTGGGTTGCAGTAGGCACTCACCAGCCTGAAGCCAGATCTGTTCCAGCGTTGTCCACAGCTGCATGGGGCCCTGCTTCAGGACTGACGTGGGCATGGTCAGTTCTGACATGGCCTCCTCTAGCCGAGAGGCTGCAATGGATGATGCCCGGTGAGAGCCTGCAGAGCAAGAGGGTGTGGGGCTGAGCAGCAGGGTCAGGATGCCAGTTCCACAGGGACAGAGAGGGACGGGGGCCAGGGCAGGGTGGCAGGGGCTGGCAGCTGGCAAATAGCTCACAGATCCACAAGGGAGAACCCACTGCCTACCCTCCCCCGCAGCTGCAGGGGGAAGGTTCGTAGGGTGCAAGCAGGCAACAAATCCTGCGGGAACATATCTCTAAGGAAAACAGCCATGAATGTCAGCCAAGATGCTTGTTCAACTCCTCTCCATAATATTGGAAATAGAAATTACCTGAGCATTAACAATAGGGATAATTAAAAATAAGCAAAGGTATAACCATCAGAGACACTGCAGTCATTATAGTGACAATGAATACATGTGAGGCACCCATGGTATGGAAGCATGATCACATTATAGACAGTGCGAACCAGCAAGTTACAGAGGAAAACAATCATGTTTTCACAAAAAGTAAACATGGGCATGCATGGGAAAAGCCTGAAGTGCCGTTTGCTAAGGTCTGGGTGGTGAGACTCCCCGTTTCTCCTTTTGCTGCTTTCATAAGCGCACATTAGCCTCCATGTGCGAAGGGGCGACGCGAGGCTGTAAAGTGAAGAGTATCTGGGCAGCAGCTCCCGGGAGACCCATGCCCTCGGAAAGCCTCTCCCGTGGCACCCGCGGGGCATGGGCCCCGGTCCGAATACACAAGCTGGTATCCGTAGTTTCCACATAGGTGACATGTGAGCACTCTCTCTTGTGCCTCAGAGGCAATAATGGTTCCAGGAACTCAGGAGACCTGAGTGCAAACCACAGATGATTTTGGTTTATGAGACTCGGGTGCATACTGCCCTAAATCACTGCCCCAGGAGCCTCCTAACGTCAAGGGGCTACCCCTACACTAACAAGTCCCTGCTTGGAGACAGCAGGTCCACGTGCAGCTCAGACCGCTGAGGGTCACGTGCTAGGATGGCTGCTGGAAGCAACTCCATCCCTTGCAACTTGGCTCCAGTCCACAGAAGGAAGGAAATGAGCAACTCCACTAAGAGCAGCCCCACTTACACTTTTGTTCCCATGACTAATTCCTCTTGTGTCTTTGAAGAAGGTGTTTTGCTTTACTCAGGTCCTCGGCTTACAACACGTTAAGTTTGCAGTTCCTGGATTCATTTGAATTTCACAAGCTTTGGGTTTCAGGGTAAGTTTTCCAGGAAGAGTCAGCTTTGAGCTTTGAGCTTAGCAATGAAAAGAGCTCGGCCCATTCCTGTTTGACTCATTCGTGTGGTATTAGGCAGCCTCTGGCCTGTAGCACAGGCCTAAGGGGAAATCACCTCTGCTCCAAGACACCCTGCCACCCTAGTCTCCTCCATCCTTCCCTCACCCAGGAGGCAGGGTCCCTCCCTTGCTCACTCCAGATGCCTACCATCTACCCCAGGGCCACCTGCTAGGTGTCTGAGGGCAGCACTGCAGCACCAAGGCCCTTGGCAATTGGTGAGGAGTGGGGGTTTGAACAGATGTCGCCCTCTGTGTGTGTACGGACAGCGAGCTGTGGGCCCACATGAACAGTGGCCTGTAGGGCACATCCTTACCTGAGTCAGCATCATGGGCGTCAGGCAGGGTGAGATGCATGCCACTCTGTTTCTTCATGGTGAGCCCCTCGCCCACGCTGCTGTCTTTCTCCAGGCCTCTGGAAGGTAAGGCAGGGCAGGAGTGGTAACACAGCAGGCTGGCAGGAGAACTAGGGGGCCTCACTCCAGACTGGCCCTGGCGCTGACAGTCCAGACAGTCCAAATCAGGACAACCGGGAAGGATCAAAGTAACCAGGGAAGCAGGGCAGATCAGCCCCTATCACTCTAGGTTTGGCACAGGGACCTTACATGTCATCTCCTTGCTCCACTCAGACCAGGCAGGGTGAGATGCTGTCACAGGCCAGGGCAAGGCTTTTGGACCCTCTCAATGTCTAGCAGAGTGCGAGGCAGAGTATGGGCACTCTGAAGAGCTTCCAGGGAAAGCCTGGTATATGCAGGGCACCAGAGATGACCCAGCCTGCCCCAGGGAAAGAGTGCCATTCCCTGCCACGGGATCCCCTATCTCCAGCTGCCAGGGGTACCCAAGGGGACCAGCAGGGCCCTGAGTGGCAGATTAACAAGCATAGGATCCTACCTTGCCTCGCACCCCGTTCTTCAGGTCCCTGTAGCTCCGCACTCTATTCTCAGAGTGGGAGAGGGCTGGGTGCAGGAAGGCACCACCAGCTCAGGAAGGCAGTGGAGCTGCTGCATCCTTCCCAGGATCACACAGCCCCAGCCAGCCCCTTCCCCTGCCAGGAATGACTGCTGCCCTTGACCCGCATGCAACTTAGAGAAAGGGCTTGAGAGGAGGAGCCGCACCTGGGCCAGAAGGCATCTTCCCTTCTGAGGGGGCTAAGACAACGGTCCTACAAATAATGCCAGGGTCTAAGGTGTCTTTGCCATCCTGCCTCAGGCTCACACTGTTCCGAGCATGTGCCTGTAGATGCACAGCCGTGTTAGCAGGCAGCAGAGAACACTGCTCACCAAAGCAGTGGCTCGGGGCTGGTTTCCTCCCTCTCCCACCCTCTTCCTCCTCCCAGCAGACCCCCAGGTGAAGCGCAGGGAGACACTAGGTTAAAGTCATGGCGCCAACCCTCCTTGACTATTGACCTTCTGTGCCTTTCTCTCCTGGAAACAAGCATCATATCTCACAAGACTGTCCTAAAAGTAACTTGAGCACCTGGGCAGGGGCCTAGCACAGTCCTGCCTTCCTGTCCAGGCTCCTGACCCATAGATATTGCCCACCTCCTGCTTTCTCTGCCATCTGTCGAAGGGGCCGCTCCTAGGGCTCTAGAACAGCTTCTCTTGGGGACCGCTTGCCACATACTTCTAGGCCAATGCCTAGCACGACAAATATTAAACCCAGATGGGGAGAGGAGACATTCCAAGCTGAACAAGTAGTTAACCCAAAGCAGCTGAAGCTGGATGATTGGTGGACCTGTGAAGGAGGGGCCTAGGGGCTGACGGGGTCATCAGGTTAGCTGTGTGGCCACTGCAGGGAAGACAGTATGGGAGATGCCAAGGACTTTGGTGAGAGGTCCAACAGGCTGGCTGGGTAGGGTGGGGTAGGCCAGACCCCAGGGGTGTACACTACAGTCCTGATTCCGAGTTGCCCCAAACTAGGCTATAATAAGTCCTGGTTTCTGATCTGTGCCCCCATGTATAGAGAAGAATCTTCCTTGTCTTCCGGGAAGCCAGAAGGTTCCCATATCCAGCTTCGGTGTTAGACAGCCCGCTTGGCTGAGCCCTGCCCTGCCCTGCCCTGCCCTGCCCTGGGTCAGGAAGCCATGGGGGAATTGCCTGGGAGAGGTTCCCAGGGGTTTCTGGTTGGGATGTGTTCCATCAGGCTCTCAGGTCATAGATAAGAGTGAGAGACTGTGTCAAGCAACCTTGAGGCAAACTCCACTGCCCCAGTCCGAGAGAGCGTCCAGCAGCCTTCAGCCCAGAAGAAGGCACAGGCTGGGTCTCAGGGAGCTCTGGCTTCAGGTTGAAGTAGCCCCACAAGGTCAGGCTACCTGGATGGGCAAGCAACCTGCCATCCTGGAGGACATAGACAAGGAGCAGCCAGTACCGGAACAGGTTCTCTGCCACAGCCAGAGGGCAGAAGGGCAGGTAAATTAAGGTCTTCTCATACCAGACAGACCCTGCCCTCATCTCAGCCTTCTCCCCACACCTTTCTGAAAAGCACCCTTCCCACAGCCTCCTTCTGGTAGCTTCCACTGCTGAACCTGTTCTGCTCTGGACTCTCTCAGCCCCAAGGCCATGAAGGGAGGGATGATCTTGCGCTGGAGTTTTACTGTGTCCCATTTCCCTGGGGCACAATCTTCTGCAAGTTCCAGCAGGATGGAGGTTCCTCTGGGAAGCCTGGAGGCCTTCTGTCCCTTTCTGTTCCCCACCCCAAACATGCAAATACCCATGACAGGCGCCTTCTGAGGCCTTAGGGCGGTGCTATGGCCAACAGTCCTGGAAAAAGGGAGCAGGGCCTCAGATGTTCAATAATAGACAATGACCTGCCTCAGGATAACCTGTCCCTGTCCCTCTGAGCTGCACCCGCCGAGCCCGAACATTGCATAGGTCTGAACAGACTTTCTGCAGATTCAGGTGGGACATGTGTGTCCTGCTCCTCGGGACCTTGCCTTTTCTTCTTCTAGCCTCCAAACAGACCCACAAAAGAAGTGACAGCTCGACAGCTGGGGCCAGGAAGCCCAGGTTCAAGTCCCAGGACTACCAGTGTCACTAACCAGGGATGTAACTCTGAGTTAGTTTTATTTCTGGGCTGATAATAAAATCAGTTAAGTGGCAGGCTCACCAGATACAGTGACAAGCCTCGGACTTGGTTCAGGTGCTCAGTGACAATTTCTCTACCTCTGTAACACTCTGAACTTCAGCTTCCTACATGTGGTCATCACACGTGTCCTGGAGGACCGCCAAGAAGTTAAACCTGCATCACGTGAACGTGAAGTTCCAGCCTCTCCTCCAACTATCCTCACCGTCCCTAACTTGCCAGGTGCTGTGGTCACTCAGCTGAGGACTGTTACCCTGGCAACCACAACTTGCACTTTGTTCCCACCCTTTGCCAACCCTGGGGACAATGACAGCCACTTACCCGAGCTGAGAGAAGCTGTACAGAGTCTGCCACAGCTGTAGCATTTGCCTGCAGGTCACGAGAGCTTCCTCCGGGCCTTTCAGCACCTGCTGCAGCTTCACCTTGGTGAACAGGAGGCTGCAGAGAGAGCAGCCGTCAGCAGGCCCAGCCAGACTTCCTCTCAGGACGCGTCTGGAGGATTCTGCCACTCACTCCGGCAGCGTCCGGAGTGCCTCTGCCACACCCTCAGACCACTTGTTTTCAGTGGCTCCCTATCTTCACAGGTAAAGCAGGAGGCGCTCCTCTGCATTTGTCAGTGCCTTTCCTGTTCATATCGCTGTCCCCGAATCCTACAGCATCCTGCTCACCCTCTCAGGCAGTCAGGTGTTCCCAGTTGGCTCTGCCTTCCTCCTTTTTTGTCTTTTTGAGCCAGGGTCTCACTATGCAGTTCAGGCTGGCCTTGGGCTCACTTTGTAGCTCAGACTGGTCTCGAACTCGCAATGATCCTCCTGCCTCAGGCTTCCAAGTGCTGGGATTAAAGGAATGCACCAACCGTGCCTGGCCCCTTCCTACTTTCTTGGCCAAGAGGGCCCTAGGCCATGGACACCCAGCAGTGCTTTGTACTTCTGGGCCACAAGGCCCAGGTTAGGGCCTGGTAAGATGCACCCAGAATGTATTTCAATAAAGGAGGCCATGCAGGCCATCAATACTCAGGCCATCACAAGGCCATCTCTTTCCTCCCTTGCCAGCCTACTGCATCTAACTGGACTGCAGATTTTGTTGTCTAACCCTGAATTCGCTCAATGTTCCTGTTACACTTTATTAAAGTTCTTCCTTGAATTTCCTAAGATGATAGCCAGCTCCCTTGGGTAAGAGGATTAAAGCGATATGAAACCCTATTTAACTCCCACTGAGGGACAGTTGCTGTACCATGACAGTAGCTTCAGACCCTCAACTTGAAATGCCAACATCCTGAGTCAGGATGGGTGGAGGATGTGCCCTTACAGTGAGTGACAGGCAGGATGGCGGGGGGGGGGCAGAGATCCAGCAGGGAGAGCCAATGCTGTGTCAGAACACCTGCTAGGGACAAGTTGGGGGAGGCGGAGACCCTGCCAGTGCACAGGCTGCTCCTCTGGGTGCTGGGGAGGTCTAGGAGTGCTGGAGGAGAGCTCCCAGCAGCTGCTATCTTCCACCCACTGTCAGCACAGCCAACTCAACAGCACTGACCCAGATGGCAGTTCCCTGGGCACCCTGGAGAGCACATGGCCCACTCAGGGCTGTGGCTGCACCTCGTCAAGCGGACTCAGCACCACTGCTGAGTGAACCGACTTGGCGATAAGGCCCTGAATTTGGTCACTGCCTGTGCAGAAGTATGGCCCACGCTGGCCCACTGCACCGAGGTTCTAGCCCCGGATCGCCCAGGCTGCAGAAGGGAGCTGCTCCTGTCACCTCCTCGGCTGGGGTGGGGCCTCCCTTTCCTCTGCAGGAGATCTGGGCCTCCAGGTTTTCCTGTGTCTTTCTTTTCGCTCCTTCTCCTAAACTGCGACTTGCTGGCAGAGAACACCTCCCACATACATGGCTTCTGCTCTCCATTTTCACTGCTGCCCAGTGCTGACTTTAAATCCACCCTTTCCCACTCTTCTGCACCCCTCAGGAACAACACATGACCCACAGCTGGCCTCTGAGGCCCCAGGGTAGAAAGTGGGGTCCCCACAGTGGCTGCACAGCAGGAGCTCAAAGTGGGCAGCGTCTGGGGAGGCCTGGTTCTGCAGCCCCAGTGTCTTTTTCCAGATTCCTGAAGGGTCCAGTGCTCCACAGTATTAGGTCTCTCTGCTCTCAGGAATATGAAGGAGAAGACACAATTTCTGTCTTCAAGGTAACAATTAGAGTGCTATAAATGTCAAGTTGCCCAGGGAATCAAGTACTGTATTTTTGGATCAGACTCAGTGCTAGGAAAGAAGAGAGATGAGGTCTCACTGCAGCTGCTGTGATGAGGAGGGTGGGTGGGCTGTGGCTGGCAGCGGGGGAGAGACCATGGAGGTGCGTGAGGTCACAGCAGAGAGCAGTGGTGAGGCCAGGAAGCACAGGCCAAGGGCAGCAGAGTCCCTGGGCAGGTGACTCTAACCTGACCAGGCTGGGTGGGGACAACTACAGAGCAGACCTGCCCTGCAGCATTCCTGGTTCTCTGCAGACCTGCCTCCTCCTCAGCAGCCTCTCTGGGCGGGAGCCCCTTCCCACTGCTGCCCTGGTGCCTTTGAGAGCCAGCATAATCCCTGGCAGACCTGACTTTACCACATGCTTGGAACAGAAAGCTGAGCTGGCATCCTAGTAGCTTCTATCAAAGTGTGTTGCGTCCTTGAGGCTGCTGACATTCCACTGGCGTGAGTGGCCCTGAGTGGAATTTCTCAACCCAACCACATCCGCTCTGAGCAGGGCAAGTGCTCCAACAGTCACAATGGTCTGCTCGCCACACCCGGATCCTGGGCCCCAGCTGAGGTGCTTCCTTGGTCTGGGGCTGAGCTCTGCCAGAGATCGTCCTGTAGGGCCCTTGGCTACTGTTCATAAAGGAGTCCCAGCACTCAGGGGATGTTTATGCCTTCCAGGTCCACTCTATCTTCCCTACCCCCTATTCCCACCATGACCTTAGGCTGCTCACACAGGCCTCTGCACCTTCCTGAGCCTCAGCCCAGACCTGAGACCTGAGCCTGCTCTGCTCACTCTCTCCGCAAGAACTCACCTTCCCCCTCAGATACCGGGTCAACTCTTGGCCAGATGTCCCCCTCTGACTTTCTCTGTGCGTTCCCTTGAGGGCTGGACCTTCGGGACAGCTGTCACTGCATCTGGATGTGGCCATTTGCATGCCTGCTGGCTTGCCTCTGAGTTAATTCTGAGCATTTCTGGCTCACAGAGGTCAGCAAATGCTCCCGGCTCTTCTATAAAAACCCAGCACTGTGGAAACTCAGGCTCCCCTCTCTCCCCTCCTGACCACTGCGATGAGTGGCTGCAGCCCACTTCACACCTGAGGTTTATACTGAGCCCGCACAGAACCGGCCGGGAATGGTTAGAGCTCTGGCTGTAGAACACAGTTTCCCAGGTGGGGCAACATGGCCAAGCCCAGCCCTTCTCACCTGTTTTACATACAGGACAAGTTTAAAATGCCAGTTGGATAAAGGAGTCTGAAACATTAAAAACAAAACAAAACTACAACTCTAACTAGGTGTAGGAGCACATGCCTAATGATCCCAGCACTCAGGAGGCCGAGACAGGAGAATCCCAAATTCAAGGCCAGCCTGACTACATAGCAAGACCCTGTCTCAAAAACAAAATGAAAGCCTGGTATGCTTGTGCATGCCTATAATTCCAGCACTGAGGATACTGAGGCAGGAGGACTGTTGTGAGTTCCAGGCCAGCCTGGGCTACACAGTTCAAAGACAACCTGAACTATAAAATGAAACCTTGTCTCAGAGCAAACCAAGCCAAACCAAACCAAACCAAACCAAACCAAACCAAACCAAACCAAAGGCTGGGTGTGGTGGCATGCACTGTGATCTCACTATTCTGAAGGCTGAGTCAGAGTTGCTGTGAGTTTGAGGCCAGCCTGGACTACATAGTGAGTTCAAAGTCAGCTTGAACTACATAGTAAGAGTCTCAAAAAAACCAAACAAACCAACCAACCACCATTTTAATCTTGAAGCCACGTTTTCCCTCAAGAAGCCCCCAGGTAATGCCCATCTTGGCTCTTCTCTGGTGTCTAGGACTGCATTCAGTTGTGGCTCATTACATTCCCTCTTTCCATGTATAGATGCATAGGAGTTTGATAATGAAGATAAGCTCCTAGCAAACGTTTTTAAAATGGCACTCTAGAAACAAAGCGTTGTTAGTCCTGGACAGGTGGTGACCCTACATTTATCTTGCCATGTGTCCTACCTGGAAGGTACACACCTCCAGCACAGGGCCCTGCCTGTTTTCCCCACCATGCTGCTCAGTGCTGACCTCAGGGGGCCTGCTCATCCCCCTACTCAAGTCCTCACAGCTGTGGAAGAGCCTGTGCCAGGTGTGTCCATCCCAAACCATCCACAGCAAAGCTAGCTTCCACGTGTGACAGGCCTGGAGAAGGAGCAGTGTGCCACAGCCAGGGTGTGCAGGTGTCTGGCTCCTCCCAACAGGGGTGTGCATGCAGGGGTGTGTCTCCATCTGAGGGGACAGCCATGGAGCAATAATCAAAGTGTAACTGAGGACAGTGTGAGACTGGGAAACATATCCAGTGGCCCTCCAATATTCTAGCACTCTCTCAAGAGTGTTCTAGGACAGGGATGTGGTCCTTGATGGCACCTAGAGTGAAGAGACACTGGCTGAGCAGTTGGAAGCCCCAGACCAAGTCTCTGCTGCCACCCACCCAGGCACATCGTTGGTTCCATGCCTTGAAAGAGGAGAAATTACATGCCTGAGACCTCCCATGAGGCTGTCTTGAAAACATGTGAACTGCAGGACAACTGTGATTCAGTCCTCTAGACCGTGGTCACTGGTGCTCCAGACTCGGCCCCCTGAACCAATAGCCTGCTGGATTCTACACAGGAGTGTGTAGGCTGGGCTCTGGGGTTTCCAGAAGCCCCACAGGCCCTACCACCAAGTTTTGGGCAAGCATCCCCAGCTGTGACCAGGGTGCGGGCACGGAGCAGACACTGAGGAAGCTGGAGCCTGGACACACTGTGGCTTCTGAGGCAGGTACATGGGTGGGTGTCCCCTGGGGAGGGCGACAGCAAGGTTGGCACAAACACACAGTGCCTGTCCCACAGAATGAGACGCCAGGTCTGGGGATGTGCCTTATTCCTGCCACTCCCCAAGGACTGGTTCAAACCTCCAGATGTGCATGTCTGGTGCCAGCAGGAGCCATGGCACAGACTTCCAAGAAGGAGCTCAGCCCTTTGGAGAACAGTGCCAGGCCTGCAGCAGCCGCATTGTAATTGCCCACCTCACCCGCCCCTGTGCTCTGGTCAGAGGCAGGAACCCACACTCTGGCCCCGGGGACACAGGCAGGCTCTCAGCTGACCTTCCCACTTGCTCTGGCCAGCAGCTAAGGAGGAAGTTTCCCGAGAAAATGCTGGCATCTCTCCTCTTCCTCCCTCTCTCCCAGGCCT